ACTAGATGTAACATTGGCAAGGCACCATCGCGTTATGCTCTGTTTTCCTGGACCCCCTGTTTTTCTCATTAATTTATATGGGTTGTTTCTTTGTTGTATGAGTCTGAATCCTAGTTAATGTATTGTAACTTGAGAATTTATTCTTAATTGGTATGTTACTATATTTATGACATTTTTGTATATATACTATGGTATGAGTATTTATCTTCTTTTCTATGCAATAATATATTTGTTATATTACACACACATGTCATTCATTCGAACTTATTTACGATGCGCCTAGCGCATATACTCGATGCTCTGTTATGCAGGAAACAGCCAATCTGTGATAGTTGATATTCATTTAGTTTTATCAAACGGTGTAGGGTTAGCAATCAATCTGCAGTCCTGTGATCTTATCCTATTAAAAGTGTTTGGTGAGACGAGCTTCGGTGTTTGTTTATTGGAGTCTACAAGAAAGGGTAAAGAAGTTATGCCTACAATTTCTTGAATATGTGAGTTTATTATATTTACTCTACTGCTAACAATCTCAACAGTTTTGGTGAGTAGCTTGAATTTGGTCGCCCATGGATTGGCATTGACAAAAAGGGGCTCAAATTCCAAAATCAGGTAAGATTTGTTTTACCGAAAAATTAAAAGTGACAGTGGAGTTGACCTTTTCTTTTAGAAAATTTATTGGCAGGAAAACCATGGCAGATCGGGGTTGACTTTTGTTCCTGCTGCAACCTCTGCATTCAATTCAAACATGGTCAAACCCTTTGTTATGAAACTGAGATAAAACATTTGTTTTGAGTTTTTTTCCCAAGGGGATATAGATAGATAAAGGTTTGAAACTCTCTCTCTCTCTCTCTCTCTCTCTCTCTCTCTCTCTATATATATATATATATATATATATATATATAAATGTTGAGGAGTCACGCAATGGAAGCTTGGTGCTATAAATAAAATAGTTGGTGGGTTGTTGAGCGAACTGTTAACTGGCCACAAGCTCCCACCCATGTTCCATTTATGATGCTCATAAATTGGTACTTGTATTATTATTACTATTATTATTATTAATAATCCCCTTTCATATAAGTAGTAAGTTGGGATATATATGCACTATATACTATATTGTATTTTCTGTGTGTATAGTTATTCACCATTGTTTCTCAACTAATTTCCCCTCCTTCATTCAATTCTTGTCATAAATACCCCTACAGCTCTTCCCGCTGCACAATTAGTTGTAAAGATATTTTTTTTTTTTTTTTTTTTTTTTTTGTTTCTCACTCGTTTGCTGGTTTTTAAATTTTTTTAATTTATTAACAGAGCGGTTTCCTCTTCGGGGCTGATTTAAAAAAAAAAAAAATTTTGACTCCTTAAATTTTCAACTGTCTCTGGAAATGCATTAATGGCGGTGCCATCTGATTGTTAAAGTTTTGCACAACTGTAGAGAAGGTGTATTATTAACCTTTTCAATTTATATCTTCTCTCTCTCATCTATAAATCCATCTTTCTCCTTATACTTCTTCATCTCTCTCTCTCCCTCTTTCTGTCCTCTCTCAATCAAACTTCATATTCTTGATGCAAAACAGTAACAAAGGGCTCTTTTCTTTTCCAGACAAAAGTTTCCATTACAGCATCTTACTAGGTAACACAATGGATGTATCACTGGCATTGCTCTTGTTCACCGCTGTAACCTGTTATCTACTCTGGTTCACCTTCATCTCCAAGTCACTCAGGGGTCCACGTGTATGGCCCTTATTGGGCAGCCTCCCCGGCCTTATCGAGAACTCCGACCGCCTCCACGAGTGGATCTCCGACAACCTCCGCGCCTGCGGCGGCACTTACCAGACATGCATCTGTGCAGTCCCATTCTTGGCCAGAAAGCAAGGCCTCGTGACAGTTACGTGCGACCCCAAAAACCTTGAGCACATTCTCAAAACCCGGTTCGACAACTACCCGAAGGGCCCCACATGGCAAGCCGTCTTCCACGACCTTCTCGGACAGGGTATCTTTAACTCAGACGGCGACACCTGGCTCTTCCAGAGGAAGACTGCTGCACTCGAGTTCACCACCCGGACCCTCCGCCAAGCCATGGCTCGGTGGGTCAATCGAGCCATCAAGAACCGGTTCTGCCCCATTCTCGAGTCGGCTCGGGTGAAAGCCGAGCCGGTCGATCTGCAGGACCTTCTGCTTCGGCTCACTTTCGATAACATATGTGGCTTGGCTTTTGGAAAAGACCCTCAAACCCTAGCTCCCGGCCTGCCGGAGAATGGATTCGCCTCGGCTTTCGACCGAGCCACTGAAGCTTCGTTACAGAGGTTTATATTTCCGGAGGTGATTTGGAAGCTGAAGAAATGGCTCCGGCTCGGAATGGAGGCTGGCTTGAACCGGAGCCTTGTCCAGGTGGACGAGTATTTATCCGGTGTGATCAATACTCGTAAGCTCGAGTTGACATCTCAGCACAAAGACGCAAACCCACACGACGATTTGCTGTCACGATTCATGAAGAAGAAAGAATCCTACTCGGATAAATTCTTGCAGGAGGTGGCGCTTAACTTCATCCTAGCTGGACGCGACACGTCATCAGTAGCGCTGAGCTGGTTCTTCTGGCTGGTGATGCAGAATCCGAGGGTGGAGAATAAAATCCTGAACGAGATATCGAAGGTCTTGATCGAGACACGTGGCGAAGATACTGCCACGTGGACTGAGGAGCCGTTGGAGTTCGAGGAAGTCGACCGCTTGGTGTATTTAAAAGCTGCTTTGTCGGAGACTTTGAGATTGTACCCTTCGGTGCCGGAGGATTCGAAGCATGTGATTGCCGACGACATTTTGCCGGACGGAACTTTTGTTCCGGCGGGTTCGTCTGTGACGTATTCGATTTATTCGGCTGGGAGGATGAAGTCCACTTGGGGGGAGGATGCTCTAGAGTTTAGGCCGGAGAGGTGGTTGTCGGAGGGCGGCGATCGGTTTTCGATGCATGATTCGTATAAGTTTGTGGCATTCAATGCGGGGCCTAGGATATGCTTAGGGAAGGATCTGGCGTATCTGCAGATGAAGTCGGTGGCGGCGGCGGTTTTGCTCCGGCACCGGTTAACGGTAGTGCCGGGGCATAAGGTGGAGCAGAAGATGTCGTTGACTTTGTTCATGAAGTACGGGTTGAAAGTCAATGTTCACCGGAGAGATCTTGGATTGGTGGCGGCGAGTGTGGCTAAGGAGAGATGTTTGGGTACGTTGAGTAATGGTAAGTGCGGTGGGTTTAGTGAAACTAGCGGCAGAGTTGGCGGTGGAGTAGGGGTGGAGGTGGTGGTTGGAGTGGTTTAAAGTGGTGGTTGGGAGTGTGGTTTAAAGATGGTTTGGGTATAAATGGGTTTATTATTATTATTATTATTAATACAGGGTGGGGCCCATTTAACTATACTGAGTTTTTTAAGCCAACTCAGTGGGTGGCTGCTGTTTATTACTGACATAAATTTTGTGGGGTGGAAATTCACATGGTGGCCTTTGAATGCGCATTTGTAGAGATGAGTGTGTGTACTTTCTTCATTACTGAAGGTACAACCATTTGTTGCAGGAAGATCATAGCTGATGAGGAAAAGAGTACATGCCAAATTGCCAATCTCTCTCTCTTTTTTTTTTTTTTTTTTTTTTTTTTTTGGTTCTTGTGTTTGTTAAAAGACTATAGTTTGGGTTTTGTTATTGTATTGATTCTTTGTATTTTCTTGTTCCAATTTTAATTTATTTGGCTACTATGGTATATAGTTTGTTTGGAGTGGCAATTCAAACGGAATTTCTTAATTCGTCGAATTGATTGCGATTCGGAAAATTCTAATTTATGAAACGATGTTTTTTCATTTTGATTTCCGAATCTTTACAATTTTCGATATAATTTTAATTTACAGAAATAATACAGTTCTTCATTTTTCGAAAATTACACTCAATGATATTAATATTATCACACATTTTTTTTCTATATTTTTTATTCCAATTTTAAAAATTAGAGATATTGAACATAGATAGATACCTCGAAGTGAAGGGAGTTATTAAACTTAACTTCTTACAAAATATAATTAATAATTTCTAAACTGCAACAAAGATGAGACAAAATGGCAAAAATCATCTAAAGAGATTCCACATCAAACCCGAGGCCCTTTCATTTAATGTAGATCCTACACTCCGGCCGCGATTCGACCCCATTCTTTTCATGGTAATCGAGCAAATCTTTCGATTTATTCTCGATAACTTAGTCCAGAATTTTCTCCCCGGTGGCAAATAGGTTCCACACTAAGGTTCCGATGATGTACAGTACAACGGCCACTTTGAATACATCATCCCACGAACCTGAGCAATTTAATTCGAGAATTAAAACTCAATAGTTCGATTACGAAATAGAAATTTATGCAATTACGAAATGATTTTCGTACCCTTTTGGAGTATGTATCCAGTAGCAGCAGTTCCAAAGACACCAGCAAGTACACCGGCAGTATTAGATAGACCTAACAAAACTCCCTGCAAATATAGCGAATATTCGAATTATCGTACTGACAAATCAATGTTTAGGAAAAAATCGATATTAAAATATTTTCTTTTCCAACTCACAGCGTAACGTGGGCCGATATCTTGGTGATTGGAGTATAGTCCAGACTGTGAAAATGCATCCAATCCCTGCGGAAGTATTGTATACACACATTTGTTGTACTAAGTTATGAAATTTAAAAGGCAAAAATAGACATGAAAGGGAGAATCTCGAACCTGACTGCACGACATGCATAGCACAGCTAGAGCAGGGGTTTTCACTTTGCTCAGTTGCGATAGGAAGAAAGCTGGGCCTAAAAATCCGATCGACTGCATTATCTGTAATAGTAAGGAATTTAAGAAGATTAAATACGTAGTTAATTGCAAATTTGTTGCGTAAATTCATCGGAACTAAAGGGAAAAGAAAAAGTGCTTGCCTTACGAACGGTCGTGATGGAAAGACCTTTGCTGATGAGTGTATCAGCAATCCAACCACCTATATTGGCAAACACCGCCATAGTCAGCCATGGAAGCACACACAGTAGTCCAGATTCAGTGAGATTGAACTTCAAAACCTACATAAACAATTAACAAAAATCGGAAAAAAAAAAAAAAAAGCTTATAATTGTTAAAAAGAAAATTAGCTAATAAATATAATACCTGGTTATAGTAAGTAGGCATCCATGTCAAAAGAATAAATGTTCCCCAATTATGGCAGAAATGGGAAATGATTAGAGCCCAAACGGGGGCCTTTGACAGAATTTTCTTCCATGGAATCTCGGTGACAGGTTCCTTCGATACGCTTCCTCCCAAAATCAGTTCCTTTTCCTCCAGATTCAAATTTGGGTCGTCTTTTGGTGAGCTGTGTGCCTAGAATAAGTAAAAGTCAAGAATTTAAATGTCAACTGCAGTTATATTCGAACTACAAACATGCGGAATTCCAAAGCATTCAGTGAGATTAGGACTTACTTTGCTCAACCAAATTGCAAACCAAATACTTCCAAGGGATCCAAAAGAATAGAAGACAGATGGCCAACCGAACTTGTGAATCAATATCGGTGAGAAAGCCAAACCGGTAACTGAACCAAGATACATTCCGCTGTACACTAGCGCAAGAGATCTGCTTCTCTCCGAGACAGGAATCCATTTTGATAACAGATTATTCATAGCAGGCATAGCAACACCCTGGTTTACAAAATAAGACTCATTTGAAGAGGCAAACCATGTTTGATATCTGGTGTCTGTGCTCACATTTTACAAGCAACATCTAACGAATCTAAGCAGAAGAACATGAGCAGCTAACCTCGCCAATTCCCATGAAGGCACGCATAACAAGTAAGAAAGGAAGCCCAAGTTTAGCAGCAATAGGTGTCAAAATTGTTGCGATAGACCACCAAACTACTCCAAAACCAAGTACTAGCTTCCCGCCTACTTTATCAGCCCATATGCCGCCAACAATCTATGCCACAGAGAATGCAGAATAACTTCAGCAAGAGTGCAATAATATAAACGTCTTGAAGCGACTCCAGTGAGACCTTAAGTCAGCATGCATTCAACTATTCTGGATAAAGACTGCTTAAAGAGGCACTATGAAGCAAAGCAATAGGATAAGTTACGTCAGAGATTAAGATGTTTGTTTACTCTGGTGTGCTCCTTTCTTCATCTTTGTTCTATAGAAAATTTGAAAATATTTTGAAGTTTGTAGGAGTACCATAAACTGTACCTAACGTGCTTTAGACAATTGTAAACATCCAAGCTTAGTGAACAAGAAGCAATTGAGGCAGTAACTATTGGACCTTGGTACGTAAATCATACAATACCCATTGAAGATTTCACAGAAAAAAACAAAAGGACTACCTCTTTGACATTATCGATCTCATTTTCAATAAATTAATTGTAACAGTAAAGGATTACTGCAAAAGACTAGCTCAAACACTTGTGCTGAAGCAGGTACAAACTCAAGCCTTTAAATGGTGCCCTGATGTTATGCAATCATGAGAAAAACCTGTGTAAGCAGATAACCCCAGAAGAAAGAGGACTGAATCAGACCAACTGTCGCACTGTCCCAGTTGAATTCCTTTGACATCGGGAGTATTGCTATGCTCATGTTTACCTAAATACAGAAAGCATCAAACTATTAGCACAAGTAGCAGCGATTCTGTTCCATTAAGGCAGTTCAGGAAAGTGCATGCACATGAAATTAACGTAAGATATTATTTCAGCCAGGATATCGTAAATTTAAGCAGGAAGCCTACATAACCAGTAAAAAGACCTTACACGATCCATGTTGCACAACAGAAACGCAGCAAAACAAAGGAGGACCATCAGCCAGCGCTTTGGAAACTTCTGCCACCACGGTTTTGCTGGCTCGACTCCTTCAATTAAAACATCTTCACTTGTCCCCTCGTTCTCTTGAGATTTGAAGTCGGCCCTGGTCCTCATCACTGTTGAATGCTTTGACGCAAGTTTTTGGCCATCAATAAAGCCATAATTATCCAACTTCCCTGGTTGAACCCAATTTCCCTCAGAGTAAGCCGACGAAAGGCAGCATCCTCTAATCATTCTCCTCGTATTGATGCCTTTAATTTTTTTTCTCAGTCGGTGGGACATTGAGAGAGGTGGATCTACTTTAACACGAGATGCTGAATCTGACAGGTGAAATTCTCTTTTTGATTGATGCCTTCCATGGTGAAGATATAGCTTGCTGTCAATCCTTTTCTCATACGCACACTGTACAGCAGCAACACTCAAGTGCTCACTTCTTTGACGAGCTCTAGCTGCTTCTCCATGGCATGAACGTCCTGGTGATAAGAACAAATAAGAACATATATCAAATGAGGCTTAATTCTTCATAAAATTGCTAAAATCCTACGTTTCCGGAGAACAATTACTGTCATCTAGTTGCCTTCGATTCACATCAAACGAACTTGTATCTCACATCACAATGCTCAAAAGAACGACATCGGCAGATAGCGAAAAATGTACTCATATCAAAATTCAATAAACTCAATTTGTTGACTTAATCTCATCACAGAGTTACCAGTGGATATCTCATAAACTAATTAAAGCATAAAATGTAAGAAAATTACTCAGGATGATAGTGCAGCCATTTTTTTCTCAATTCACATCTCTCACTAACGCACTTTAATTCCTCAAATTACAAAATCAGGACAAATATCATCAGTCATCACAACTTCGAAATTACTAATCAAGCAAATTAAACAAGCCTCGAACAAAAACAAACAACAAACAACAACAGTCGCCAAAAACTGCAAAAGCAAATGCTAAACCACCACCGGAAATTAAACTCGAAAAAAACTAATAATTCAATCCAACAGTGCGAGAATTAGGCGACGAGTTACCAGAACCGACGAAAGAGCCGAAATTCCGGTGCGAAAGGACGGCGCCGATTGCCATTCTCACCGGAAAATTTCTTCACTGGATGTTTTAATTTACTTATTTATCTTCTCATACTCTCTCTCCAGCTGCAGGAATTAAATAAGTAGGTAGAAATTACAGTCACAAATCACTAGAACTTTCTCACTCTAGAGTGGATAATATCTGGGGAGCTATTGTTCTTCTTCATACGAATTGTATTTTTTTTTTTTTCAGCTCAGATTTATTTTCTGCAATTTTATTATTTTATTATTTGTTTAAATAGCGGGAATTTGTAAGAGGGGCTGATAGAGTGACACGTCCGCATCGCATCATCTTTATATTTACGATATTGTCCCCACTTGGAAGAATCAAACCAACCTGCACTTTTAAGTGATTTTGAAAAAAAAAATAAGGCTGCGGCTATATGCAAGACTAATTCCACTTATGCAAGATCAGATTAAAATTTTCAATGTATAAATACTATAATACCCTTACTTATTAAAAAAATAAAAATTTCCAAATGTGCAAGACCTAAAATTCAAAAAACACAAAAAAAACCTATCACAAGACCACAAGACCAACTATCATCTTCTCCATCTTCCAAAACCCACAAGACCTTTCTCCATCCTCCTCCATAAACCCACAAAAGCTAAACATTCAAAATCATCAAAACTCAACAAATCTTATAAAGATGGCAAGTATGGTGTCAGAAGACATCAAAATAGAAGATTCTACGGTGGAAGAACCCAAGAAGGTATGCATTTATGAGTTTTTTTTAGCTAGAATATCGTTTTTCCAAAAAAAATCCCGCGCAAACGAATTTGACATGTACAAGTCGAATTTTATAGGTAAAAATCGACATTTAGATGTCGATTTTGAGGTATAAAATTCGACATTTGGCAATGTCAAATTTGTGCTATAAATTCCACATGTTAATGTCGATTTTTACCTATAAAATTCGACTCTTAAGTGTCGATTTGTAGCATAGTTTTTCGACACCTTGGTGTCGATTTTGACCAGTTTCAAATTTAATTTGTTTTTCCTTTTTTTTGGGCAGATTTAGGTCACTCATGATTGTAAGCGGCGGTGATCGGCGGTGGAGCTTGGGCGACGGAGCTTTGGCGACGGAGAAGATGGGTGTAGGTAGGTTTTCAGGAGGGGGTTGTTTGTTTTTTTAATTCACCCTTCTATGTTTTTTTTTCCTTATTATTTGTATTTGGTCTTGCATGAGAAAAAAAAAAAAACAAATTTAACTTATGGGTATATTTGTCATTTCATCTTAATAAAATAGAATCTTTTGGAATCTTTTTTTAATTTGGTTTTTCACAAGTGGAATGAGTATTGCATATAGCCGCAGCCAAAAAATAATTATAATCACTTTGGAAAAGCGTTTGCAAGTTTTGTCAACCCAAAATTTTCAGTGATGAATTGCTTTGGGCCATTTAATTAAAATGTTGATTAATTTTTATTTGGGTACCAACAACTGAGTACATAAACCACCTTTTATCGGAACCCTTTTCTCATATCATAATTACTTAGATTATGTCAACTCGCTCACTTCAACCTCAATTCGTCAGATTTGAACTCACTCTCTTGTTTGTCACACTCAAAAATTGATGTCACACTTGTATAGAAGGACTGAGAAGTAGAACTCGAAGAAGATTCAAATTTGTATGTGTCTTACCCCTCTCTCTCTCAAAAAAAAAAAAGATTGTTTCCAAAATAGAGAGCAAAATTAGTACAACCATCGCCATAGTCAAAGGGGCACGTCGTCAGAAGATGCCAAAGATGATTCAATGCGGTAGTACGTCGAGAGGAGAGGGAGAAGATCAAATTTTAGGGCTGGGAAGGAGACGAGGTTGAAATACCTCGAATGGGTGGTCTATATGAAAGAGTTGAGAGTCAACGATCAAAATCAAAGTATCAAAAAGGCTCTCGAGTCACTACGTGAGCTTTGAGCCGCCTCCAGTGGAGATCCAGTTAATCAACTAAATTCTTGATTAGTTCAGTTTGGACCGAGAATCCAACAAATTTGTTACTAAAGATATGGTTAGAAATTAGAATAATAATTTTGGCAAGCAAATTGTTGATTTTAGAAATAATTAAGTTACTTGAATATAATAGACTTAGATCTCGTTTGATTGGGATTTATTTTAGTTACATGATTGAATTTTTATTTATTTTCACCAACTATTGTATTGGGTCATCAACCTTAGCGGTTTGCATGCAATGTCTTTAATATCTAAGAGTTAGATAAAAAAAACCAACAAAATCATCACCAATATTCAGAAATTATTACCAAAACAATATTCCACTTCAAATTCCAATAATACCCTCACAGATATTCATATACTACTAAAATCTCCTCCAAAAGAGTTCAATTCATTTCTTGGAGTACATAGACTCCACCATGCCATCATTCCCACCAAGCAGCATATACTTATCCTTCCTAGTCAACTGAGTACACTCAAACCCCAACGCGCCACCCAACACCCTCTGCACATGATTCGCCACCTCGACTGCCGACTTCCCGCCGCGGCGGCAAGTCATCCCCTCCGGCAGCCTCTCCAGAAACTTCACCTCGTACGTCGGCCGAGGGTTCATAAAGTAGTAATAGGCATCCCAAAACTTCACTCCCCTCACACTAGTTCCGTAAAACATCCCCTGCGCGACGTTCACAGCCACCGGCACAATCCGATCACTCAACTCCGCAAACAAAGCACTAAACCTCAACAAGTACTTCTCCCTGCACGTGGTCCCCTCCGGACAAACGACCAAATCGCCCTTCTCGAGCAACGCCCTGATCATCGCAGCATCCGCCACACGATCGCGCGTCAAGGCAACGGCTGGGATTGGAGATAAAAATCTCGAGAGCTTACTAACACTATACGTCACACACGAGACTTTTCGACCTAGTGCTATTGCGATTACTATAGGGTCGAGTGCAGTTCGGTGATTACACACGTAGAGGTTACCGGGGGACCCACGAGAAGGGGGTGGGGGCGGATGCCCCTTGATGACTAGGTTGATGCCTAGCATGGGGTAGGTGTAGCGTACGATTTTCTCCGGTAAAGGGAGGTTGAAGTAGACGCGGATTATGGAGAGTAGGAACCCGAACGGGAGCCAAATGTAGGTGATGAGCGCGTTGAGCGGAGTTGGCGGCTGCACTAATCGGCCGTCGTGGAAGATTAGTGGGTTCTTTAGGCGGTTAAGTGGGATCGGTTTTGCTGATTTGCTAGGGTGCACCATGTATCCTTCCTGTGAAATTGCCATACATTTGAAATAACTTCATTATATTTGAAATAAATCCAAGCTTCTGCAATTTCAAATGTGGTGATTGACTAATAATCTCTTAGCCATCAACTTCTGATTAATTAAAAAAAAAAACTCTCATTTTCTATTTTCATTGCAAGAATTAAAGTTTGGCACATGCCCTGTTTCAGCAAATTGTATGTATATTACTAAAGCCTCAACCACTACATTAATTTCTTATTAGCTGTCGTACTTTATCATTTATGATTTTTATCGGTGACAAGTGTATACGAATATGGCAAAATTTAGTACGATTTTACCTAGCCAAGAACCGGAAGAAACTATTAATTAATCGGGATTATTAATTTATCGAGCTTCTACTGTATCACACATTCTTTTACTCCTAAGTTGACATAATCAAACATCAAATTTATGGTCCAACCTTCAAGCTATTGCGATGTATAAACAAATTCATGTTCGCAGGTATCTAATTCGACAAGATAGAGCTCAAATTATGCTAGGTTGATCAGTAAACACCACATAAGCAAAAATCATATACACAAACAAACACCTTAAAAATTGACTAATAATGGAAAATATAGATGTGAAATTCAAATCTGATTTATGACGCAATAAATATAATTAACTGGAAATTAAATGAATAGAAAGGGGGTAAAAAAATGTGTAGAGAGCTAACCTTGCACACAGACATGAAATCGTGATCGGATTCACGATCTCCGATCCCGATATCCGGCGTCTCGCCGTCGGCAAATTCCTTCAGCACGGCCAACTTCTTCCATTTCCCGACCAGCACTCCAGGCTTCTTCACAAATCCGGTTGCCTTCTTCGTCTTCGGATCGACCTCGATTTCAGTCCCGATCACCTTGTCCGCCCCCAAATACTCGCTCGCGAACGGCTCCACCATTATCGTAGGATTCGCCGTGACAATGACTTTCCGTTTGCACTTCTCGAACACCTCGTAGCTCTCGGCTCGCACGTCGTTCGCGTAGAACCTCGGCAGCACGGCGCGTGAGGCAAGTTCGATGTCACGCGCTTTGATTCCTGAGTAGGAAATGTAGATCAGCATCTGGATGGCGAGCGACTCGGAGACGAAGACGTACGCGGCGGCGATGAAGGGGAACGAGAGGAGGAGGATCAGGCCGCGGAGGAGGCTCCCGGCTTCGATTGCCACGAGCATGAAGTAAGGGAACGAGGAGCGTGAGATTAGTAGGGTTCCGTCAAGGTCCGCCGCTATCGAGCGGCTGTTTACACCGGAGGTGTCGCATTTCTCGATCGACGGAAAACGCGCGGCGGCAGCAGTGCCGGAGGCGGTGGTTTTCGCCATCTTTCACTCTGTATGTTTTTGTGTGTGTGTTGGATTCTATATATGCATGTGTTTGTGTGTGTGTGTGTGTGTATATATATATATATATATATATATATATATATATATATATATATATCTATATATATGTGTGTGTGTGTGTGTGTGTGTGTGTGTGTGGTTATCTGTTTAGTCTGTGCTTTTAAGTGTGCTTTCATGGAGGAGGGAAGGTGTGGGTTTAAATGAGGAGGTTGAGATAGAAGAAATGACGGACTTGCCCCGAAGAGAAACATGACAGTTGGGGAGAATTTGGAGGGTAGTTGGGTAAAATGATACATGTCCTACTACTTTGGGTTTCGAATTGGCGGTGGTGAAATTAAATGCTCGGTTTTTGAATTTTGGTACATTTTTATTTTCCTACGTCACAATGAAAATCATTTTAATTAAATTTTGAAATTTCAAAATTTGAGATTTTTAGCACCCAATTTCTAGGGAAATTATATATTATACCTGATTATTTACACTGTGCCGATTTGAAGAGTACATCTACACATAATCACACACATACCTAATATGTATGTGTGCTTACATCAACACATAATCGCACACATACCTAATATGATATGTGCTTAGTAAATAATTATCTAATCAAATTTATAATCTAACTCTCCGAATTTCTATTGCTCAACTGTGAGTTCAATGAAAATTTTGAAAAGTAGTACAAATTGAGTCGACTCGACCAAATCAGTGCATTAATATTTAATCACCACATTGTTTCATTCGAAATCGATCAACGATCAACAATAAACGCATAATTCCTCTAAAACAAAAATAAAATAAAAATAATAATAATAACAACGGACACTTATTCGAACTTATTCCAAAATTGTATTCAAGGTTTGATTTGGTAAGCAATCGAATTGAGTTTAAACGGGTGTTAGTCAGTCAATTCGAGCATGAATCTACAATATGCAAGTTTTTGTTCGTTATATAAAGAAACAAGCTAAAAACGAACTTCTAAAGAAGAGTCTCGAATCGAATAGCATAATTTGAATCTTTACACAAGAAACACCAAATTACAAAAAAAAAAAAAAAACACATAATTAGAAGAGACTTAAAAGCGTCAATTACAACAAACAAACAAACATACAAACACGATTCTAGATTAAAAGTAGATAAGCAAGAAAATCAACAAGCAGAATGAGAGGTTGGTTTATGTTCAGTGACCACTCTTGAATGGGATGGCTCTAATAACAACCACATGATAAAGTGCAGCAAGTGCAGCTCCAACGAAAGGTCCAACCCAGAAAACCCACTGTAAAAAAATATTTAATTAAGCCACAATTAGTGTTGTAATTAACCAACAATTATGTTACACCTCTGAAAAAAAAAATTAAAAAAATAATAATAGAAAAAAATAATTCTCTTACATGGTCATCCCATGCATGATCGTTGTTGAAAATGATAGCTGCACCAAGACTTCGGGCCGGGTTGATGCCCGTTCCGGTAATCGGGATTGTTGCCAAGTGAACCAAAAATACAGCAAATCCAATTGGGAGTGGAGCCAAAAGCTGTATATATAGAAATTCCCACAAGAGATTTATAGGAGTTGAGCATAAATGCATAATAGCATGAGAGATTACAGAATATTGATTTGGTTCAATTTAAGGCCTCGTTTGGTTTCCAATATAAGACTAGCCAAGATCTACGTACTTATTTAATTAATCACGGCTTATCTTGCCAAACCAAACGAGGTAAAATTGAACAAAACTTTTCTTGATTTAGTCTACATATGTCTAATTAATTGTGAAAAGATTCAAGATCCTTCTACAAGTTAGCAAACATAGACTTTAACACTAGAATAAACGAATTCGGACGATTTTTCGGTTAAATGTAAACGAGATGGTGAAAGATAGCTAAGCACTTACAGGGACATGTGAATCTCTAGCGTTTCTCTTGGCATCGGTAGCGGAAAAGACGGTGTAAACGAGGACGAAAGTGCCGATAATCTCAGCACCAAGGCCACTCCCCTTCGTGTAACCATGGTTAACTACATTAGCACCACCACCCATTGCCTGGTAGATCTTAGGCTGGAAACCCTTAACCACACCAGCACCACAGATTGCACCAAGACATTGCATCACTATGTAGAAAACTGCTCTGGTTAGAGACAGCTTTCTTGCTAGGAACAGACCAAATGTCACTGCTGGATTTATGTGCCCACCTGAAAAAAAAATTCCCACGCAATTAACAGATCAGCAAATGAAAACCCTAATAACACACAAAACACACACTGAGAGTGAAAATTTCCTCACAGGGACAAATAAACAAACACATGATAGGCACTGGGAGGAATGAATTTTTTTTTTCACACACAATTAACAGATCAGGATATGGAAACCCTAGAAACTTCAACAGAGCGACAGAATTACACACACTGAGATTGAAAATTTCCTCACAGAGACAAATAAACAAACATATGGCATGCACTGGGAGGAGTGAGAATTTACCAGAGATTCCGGCGGTGCAGTAGACGAGGGCGAAGATCATGCCGCCGAAAGCCCAAGCGATACCCTGAATTCCGACGGTGGAGCACTTGCTTGGTGACTTGGAAACACCCATGACAGTCAGGACGGTGATGTAGAGAAACAGAAAGGTGGCGACGAACTCGGCAATGCCGGCTCTCCAGAACGACCACGACTTGAGCTCGCCGGGCTCGAACAGCGGCGCCGGCGGCGGCTCCTTGTAGTCCTTGGTTTGCGCGGAGGTTCCTAATGGCTGCCTCTCTGAGTACTTGTTTGCTCCTAAGCTCACATCCTCCTCTTTCCCCTCCATTCTTAAACTTTCTCTCTCTCTAGTTTCTCTCTCTAGATTTTCTCTCTCTAGTTTTCTTTATCCGAAGGTGGAGAGTGAAGAACAGAGGGGGAGAGTCATTTATAATACTGGCTACTGAGCAGAGAGAGAAGAAGATTAGTGTGACAGCTGTAATGTAACATTCTTTTCAGGCTCTTTATTAATATCATTTCATGCCCTTGAGATTTATCTGTATTCTAATTAAGCCCTTCTTCTTATTCTTTTTTTGCATTTTTACCACGATAGTTTTTGTTATGAATTCACTTTTTTTTTTTCATCATTTATGTAGTTGAATATTTTTACTACTTATTAAAAATATGAAATTTCATTTCAATAAAAAAAAAATTGAAACATCATTGTTCTAATTTTTTTTAAACACAAATCATGTTTCGAATTGGGAAAATAGGGGAGGGACGTGATTTGAAACATAAACTTCTACTATAATAGTAGAGTTTACGTAGCAACTGTCCCGTATGGGATGACCTAACGATTGAAGCAAATGAGCGTAGCGTGTGTCAATTAACTCAGGTTCGAATCATCTTGCCAACGGTCGCTAGATGGAACTTGTCACACATGATTAACCTAGTGTAATATAGATTTATCAAATGCAACTATTGTATATGGTTTGGTGCGAGTTTTTTCATTATCAAAAAAACAATAAAAAAATAATTAAATATCAATTTTTCTAATGAGGGTTTGTCGCTAAACTAATTTCGGAACATGTGATAATATGTAAATTCTTCTATAATAAGGGGCGATATTCAATTTTCAAAAGTATGCAAGACAAACAGTGGGGACTTGCTTCGCTGTCTTATCTAGGGGTGGTTTTTTTTTTACCAAATTGCCCTACCAACCCATTGCCCTACCGAGCCCTACCGATTCTCTACTGAAATATTACTACCAAATTATTACCGTACCCTACCGTACCCTACCGAAATGTTTTGGTAGGGCAACGGCACTCAATATTATTAAAATGGTATATTGCCCTACCGTACCGAAATATTATTAATAAATAAAATTTTATTTTAATAATTCATTTATCATATATAAAAAGTTAATATAGTATCCTAATTAACTACTATTAGTTAAAATTAATTATACTCTTTAGATATGTGAAAACTATTTTAAGTTGCTTTCATTAATAATGATATAATTGATGTTAAAAAAATTTATGTTATAATTTTATTTAATAAATATTTTATATTGAGTAAATTAATAACATATATTTATAATACTTATATTTTAAAAAACTAGTTTTGTACATTTTAAACGTATATACCTTGAATTGCTTTGAAAAAATGATATTCAATTTAGACTTAAATAGTAGATAACATAAATTGGTAATTATCATTACCATACCCTACCGTACCGAACTTTTGGTATACCGAATTTCGGTATACCGAACTTTTTGGCAGGGCAATGGTAATTGATTTTATAATACCGAAAGTTCGGTAGTGGTAGTGATTCGGCGGGTTTGGTACGGTTGCCCTACCAAACCCACCTCTAGTCTTATCTAATTACATATTAAATTTAAAAATCACTTTAGCCACTGATTTATGACAACAAAAATACAATAAAAAACAGTGTGGATAGGACTTGCATTTTTTTATTATATGTCCTTTAAGATTTATCAAATTAAATATTAAATAAAAATTCACTTCAGTCCCTGAGTTTATGACATAAAATAAAATAATGTGGTATATATGTAATATTGATGGATGTAAAGGGCAGAAAATAAATAATTAAAGAGATAAGGATGAATGGGAAAATAAAGATGTGGATATCGTGGGCTTGACGGCTTTTCGGACCGTTAAAGTAAAGTGGGCCCCACCACCTAAAAAGAATCAAAAAAATAGAGACGTTGGAACATAAAAGTCCAGAGGGAAACAGCCCACCTAAACACGTGCTACTCAATTTCCCACTATTTACTTTATAGGGTAAAATAATGTATTAAATATACTTTTCACCCCTAAAATATATTATATGCAGCAATTACCCCTCAATGTACAATTTTGTAACAATTATCCCCTCAACATCAATTATTTTGTATCTTAAATTTTAAAACATGTTAATATATTTCCAATTTTCCACTATTGTTGGACGGAAAAATAATTCAAATAATTTATAAAAGTTAAAATCAATTGGAAATTCAATTCAATATTTAAAATTGTACATTTCTTTGGTAGAATACATAACATAACAATATAAATAATTATTGGATCATATAAAATTGAAAAGTAACTAGGATAAAATTATTGGAAAAGAAAATGAGAAGTAATACATTGTATAGTATTAAATGAAAATATATTTTAAGAAATTAATGAGCTAAAATAAATTAAAATACTTAAAATTACTGTTATAGAATTTAATCATTTTTTAATTATTCCATCTAATAATATTAAATGATATTCACTGATTTGTTTTATATTACGAAGATAAAGTTAATTAATCTAGAAGACTCTATTCTTTAACCTGCACAACAAAAAAAAATAAAAAATAAAAAATAAAATAGAAATATTTAATTTACTCGTGCTTCATTGGGACCCAATATGAATCATGTGAATTATGTAAAGAATAAAATATTTCAAACCTTCAATTATTGGAATATTGTCCATCACACTCATACACCTACTCCCACCACCATTAAAACATTTCATTTATTTTTATTTTATTTTTTAGTTTCAAAATTCAATCAATGATTAGCAAAACATATAGCCGTCCAATCCACTAATAGGTGGCCACGTGGTTGCTTAATTCCTTTAAATTTTATCATGTCTTTTTTCTTTCTTTTTTAAAAATTTTAAGGTAAATCACGACCACCCCTCTCAAGGAAAGCCTAAATTACGAAAATCTTCATCATGTTTAGATAATTACAGCTATGTACCTCAACTATGTACTGTCTTACCGAAAAACTCCTCATTCACTAAGTAAATTTGATAACATGAGAATTGAGTAATCGACGTGTCAGACAATACATAGTTGAGAGGTGGTTGTAATTACTCAAACATGAGCGGGTTTTTTTTTTTGTAATTTGAACATACCTTAGGTGTTGAGCGTAATTTGCCTAAATTTTATTATTATAGTAATATTTATTAAAACATAATCTTTGAAAATAAATAAATTAAATTTGGGCTGGATATAAAAGAATCCTGTATCTACAATGCATTGGCAGCCCAAAAGTTAATGGACCTTTTAGTTTTGGGCCAATTAGCAATTCTCTTTTGTCTCTCGTGAATTACACACACACACACACACACACACACACATTAAACTAAAATTAAATTATGTATGGTGATTAATTATTTTTTTCTTTTTATCTTATTCCCATGTAATTTATGAATTGATTAGTAATTTTGCTTATATAACTGATAGATGCAAAAGGGCTTTTGGTCGAACTTTCTTCGAACCGTGCTCACTCAACTGTCGAGAAAGTTCACCTATCGCAGAAATTAGGGCCAGTGGAAAACGAACAAGACGACTGAAAAAGAATAAAGAGATAGCGAGACTTCGAGAGAAAGTGTGAGTTTGTATTATTGATTATGTATGAATGTAACCCTCATCGATTTTTCGTACATTTGTTTATATCGACATTTTTAAGGAAACATTTCCAATTCTAGAACCCCTTGATTCGACCAGGATTTGATTACGATTGATGCGTGAAATCTGACACTTTCGTTTAGCTACTTATAGAGAAGATCCGCGATCCATGTCTTGTAACGGTCTTCAGATCAGCTCGTTACCTACATGACCTCATTTGTCATTATCTAATACATAACGAGCCATATGTCCTACTCTCCTTGCTCCTTGCAACAAGACCGATATTAATGAACTCTGATCAGGTGAGCTCCAGGCGTGTCGAGCTCTTGGTTTACCTTATTTCTTTATAGTTTGTTGGATTTACTGAGAGTTCGGCCTAATGGTGCCGAATTGTCCTTCGTCACCTTATGTGGTTTTTTTCGGGATATTAGGCTTTTAGCCCACTATCTCAGTAGGAAGTTCGGCCCAACGATGCCGAACTGACCCATTAATACATCTGACAAATTGGATACCTATAAAATGTGCCATAGTTAGTTAAAAAAATATAAGGCCCAAATTTGTTGTCCCCTTAGGCTCATTAAGCAAATTCATTTTGGGCCCATATTTGATTTTAAATCCCTTAATAACGATCCCTAATTACATAATTAAACCTAATAACGGTCCCTAATTAGTAATTACATAGATAATTAGTAAATACGAAAAAATCAAATTAAAAATGATTTTTAAGTACAGAAATTGGAAATATGACGTCACATATCAGTATTCTCACGTAAGCCTCACCTACATTTCACCGTCAAAACACATCTAATTTGCACACAGCGATAGATACAGCAGTTGGTGTATCTAAGTTCCTAAACCAGCCATAGATATAATTAATTAATTATATATATTTTTTTCACTGAAACGAATTAAAAAAAAAAAAAAAAAAAAAAATCTTTGCCTAAACGAAGAAGAAAAAACATGTTATCCCTATTTTCTCATTCCGCTCGCGCTCTCATATTTATCCATCTTCTGCTTTCGAAGACGACCGCCATTTTCTTAATTCAATGCTTCGTTTAGCATACAGTTCGTTTTCCTCCCATTTGTTCTTCTGAATTTCAGGTGCGTGATGTTTTTTCCTTTTTTATTTGCAAGCTTTCCGTTTTGGTTTTTTTTTTTACTTGTTTGTATTTTTTTTTGTTTAGGTTTGAATTTGATAGGGGCAGGAGCGTGTGTATTTTTGTTTGTTGTTTAGTTCAATTCGTTGTTTTGGCTGATGTAAATTGTTTTATTGTAGCTAATTTTATAATTTCTCGGGAAATTACTGGATTAGGGATGGGAATGGGACGGTGTTTGAGCTGATATTGGGGATTAGGGTTTTTCTGGACCAGCATTTTGTGGTTTTTGATTGGTTATAGCATTTCCTAATTATCGTGTTGAGTTAAGTTTGGGTTTGTTGCTCGGAATGAATTGATGCCGTTAATTGGCAGTAAGAGTTCACTTTTTTTTTTGGTTTGTATTCTGCAATTAATGAGGTACATGACTGCAAGATTTGATATTCATGCTGGATGATGATTTTGTAGTAGTTGGGAACTGAACAGTTACAGTGATGCATGATGTCGATTTTTGACTAAGTAAACACTGATTCCGATTGGGGAAATAGATTTACGAAGTGCAGTTCATCTGCATGCTCAAATCTACTGTTCATATTGCCTTGTGAATGAAGCACAAAGTCCTCATGGTTAAGGTTCATCTAATATCCATCCACCCCACATTTGAGTTCAGATGGTTGAATTATTGTTATGGGCCCGTTCCAAATAGAACAGATTGATGTAAGGAAGCCTGGCTGCATTGAATAAATGCATGGACTCAGAAGTTCCCTTACTGTATAATAATTCCTTCCTAGAAGTTCCATTTCTTTTGTTTTTTTTTTTGGAATTATTTGGATAATCAATTTAGAAGTTGGATCTATTGCAGCTTGTAAGGTATAGCCATGAAAGGCCGGTTTTCACTTGGAGCAAAAAATGTGCCCTTGATTAAACATTTTCCCCTCTTTATGATATTGCCGATCCAGGGAGACTAGGGGTCAGTTTGGGATCAGGTGGTGCACTGTCGACTGTAGTAATGTTGTTTTGTTCTGGTAATTCATTTTCTATGGACTTTTGTCCCAGTGGTAGATGAATTGAAATGTTTCATTGATGGGAGCACGCCGGGGATTTGGGATTGTAGAATGGGGGAGAGGCAGAGAATCATTTTTGGAATTCGAAAAAGAATTGGATGCCAATAGTTGATGCGTTCAAATCTGTAATTTAGCCCACCCTCTTGTTACGTGAGATGTCTACTTATGTTATTCATCACAAAGAGTGGATATTTCCTTCTTTTACTTGCTAAAATTATAATTTAGTTTATAAGAAAGAAATTTCTGCTGATGAATACCAATCACAATACTGCTTATGAGCTTAAGAGATGTATTGTTGTCAGTATCTTAAATATTAGGGTTCCTGAATAAATGCAGGCATGATAAATGATCTGTCCTTGGATTAGAAGTGAGATCATTTGGTATAACTTTTATGTGATTCTTTGCTGCAGGTAAATAGTTGTGAAGTTTCTTTTTTGCACGCTCCCTTTTCAATTGGCTGTCCAATGACAGAAGCTGACAGTGACATTATTAAACCGGAGGTATGATTTACCGCCCCCTCCTTTTCTTTGGTAACATACAACACACCTTCCCTAGAATGGTTAGCTCATTCGTTTGAGGGTTGTTATGTGCCTGTTCACTTCATACGGTATTGAGAGCTATGAAGTTTTTATTATTGTAATCCCTATGTTTGTCAATGGCTTCTGATTTGATATAGTTGTGCTGTGTACTGCTAGATGTTGAAGGCTTATGTGTGGCTTCAAACTTCTGATGGTTCAATACAACAAGTAGAGCAAGAGTTTGCTATGTATTGTCCATTTATATGTCAAGAAATACAAGCAGGAATGGGATCGTCAAAGAATTATCCCATATCTCTTCCTCCACGGGTCAATCCTGCTATGCTGAGCCTGATTCTTGACTACTGCCGATTTCATCAAGTACCAGGCCGTTCTAACAAGGTTAATAACTCTTTCATGTCTTTTCTCTTGACGTGATTAATTTCCATTATCTTATCTTTTTTGGCATTCACATAGTATGATAGAGGAAAATAAAGTCTTCATTTTGATTATTCCTTGATGCAGGAGAGGAAGTCCTTTGATGAGAAGTTTGTCCGAATGGATACTAAAAGGCTTTGTGAACTGACATCTGCTGCTGACAGCCTGCAGCTGAAGCCGCTTGTTGATCTTACTAGTCGTGCTCTTGCAAGGGTGATTGAAGGGAAGACCCCAGAAGAGATACGAGAGATATTTCATCTACCTGATGATCTCACAGAGGTGTTCTGTCATTGCAAGCAGAGTACATGCTTAATGTCCTTTTTGTCCCTTGGGGAGTGTTCTGCATAAATATATATTTTTTATATTGTGTTATCTTATTGGTACAGGAAGAGAAGTTGGAGCCTATCAAAAACACCATGGATGATCCAAGGATTCGGCTGTTGAATAGGTTATATGCTAGGAAGAGGAAAGAATTGAAAGAAAGAGAGAGATTAAAGGTGATCACGATATCGTTTTTGTATTGAGATGTCATCCAGCAGTTATATTTGTAGGTTTGTGTACCCAGTGAACAGTAATATTCACATTCAATAAACTGCATGAAAGTGGTTGTTCACCTCTATAATTATATTTGAGTATGCTGCCAAGACTGAGACAGTGTCTTTGATGTGTTCTATAGACTGCTGAGGCTGAAGAGGAGCATGCTGATGAGCGTTCGGTGGATGACCTCTTATCGTTTATTAATGGAAGCAATGAAGGTAGTTATTGGTCCAGAATGAAAAACGGACTTATATTATTCTGGAATGGTATAACTTTTGGAGAGGATGTGGCGATGGTGGTCTCTGTTCTCCTATTGGAATAATAACTGCCTTTTAAAGTCTTAGAGTTTGGACAAAATTATTTTGTTTTATTGTTGAACTGTTTTCTTTGTTTTCTTCGTTTTATTCCAACAGTCAAATTTATGGTACTGAATTTCGTAGACTATGATATGATGCTTAGCGTGATACTGTTGCTCTGGTTTACTTATATACCCGTTGCATATCTCGTTCAACTGTAGCCGAACTTCAAGCCATGCATGCATCTTTATCACCCCTGCATCTCTTTCATCCTTAGTGTACTTGAAGCCATACATATACGAACCCTCCATATTGTTTTCTCTCTTCCCCTATCTTATAATTTTAATCTGGACTTCTCATACGTATAAATTGCAGATTCTCGGGGGACTCGGACTTCCAAAACTAAAAAGAAGAACCGTAAGAGGAAAGATCATCACAAGACTGCTCCTCCAAACTGCACTAGTACTTCAAACATCACCTCTTGTTCAAGCAACTCTGTAAATATGGATAAGAAGGTGAGAATTATTTTCATTTTTTGTGTACTTCTTTGGGCTTCATATTTGTGCTCAGGCTTTGGTCAGAGATGCCATTGCTACTTACTAAGTGCCTCAGAGATTTATGCCTCAGTCATTCGTGTTATTCTGATTGATGTCCTCATTGTTGCAGGAACTGGATGCCCGTCATTCTATGTACAGTAATCCTTTGTTACATGGCAAGCTTCTGACTGACGTCTGCAACGCTACAAAGTTGTTGGATATTGAAGATGACGGATTAGCAGCTGAAGATGAGTTTGATGATTGCGATTTAGATGATGATATTGACCCTGCATTGAAAGAACAAATTGATAGGTGAGCTTAATGCTTTTCAGTGATTTTGATTTTTTTTTTTTATTTTTTTTTTCCTAGCCCCTGCCTATTTGTGCGTGCGTTCTGGAGTTTGAATCTCAAAGGATCAAGGAAGAAATAATGTGTGTTCGCTTATCTGAGATCCTTCTTGTTAAATTACTTCAGTGAGTTCTTTCCATGTCACTGTTCATGTTGTATTATTAAGTTATTCCGCTACTGCGTGATCGTTTTCGTCGGTGTATGTAAATATACTTTCTTGAGTACCAGCCTAAAAGCAAGCTGTACTTTTCGAAATGGTTATTTTGATTTTTTTTATGGATTTGGAGAGTTGTCCGGCTGACCTTTGGACCTGATTGTGAAAATTATGTTGTGTAAAGTTGACCCTCACCTAGAATGTAGGATAAGTCCTCAACATTTAGGTAATTTGTCGTAGGAAAAAGAACGGAGAAGATTTACTGTTGTATCTTGTAACTAGTAACTAAGCATTGGTTGGTTAAATGGTCTTTGTGGAAAAAGTTCACTCAAGTTATTTGATCCGGAGGAGTCATGTGTATACATAATATTTGTTCGATTGTCGTAATAGTTCGAATGGAATAAAATTCTGCTTCTGTGTGTGTGTGTGTGCGCAAAATCATTTACTCTTATGTAAAGAAGGATGTAAGTACTATTCTTTTCGTGTTCATGCAACTGGGGAAAATGCATGTTTAGCTTGTAGATTTCCATTTGAGTTTGATTATCTCTAGATTTAGCTTCGAAGCCACTGTACTGTTCATACGTACATTTAATATCTTGATTATGTTGAGAGTTCATGCAAGAGAAGAAAGTCGAAATGAATTAGGAATACTATCCTTGCCATACCTTTTGTTTTATGGATTATAATCTTTTTTTACGACATTTTCGTCGTCTTATGATTCATCAGGGAAGTGGAAGACTTTGCGAGAAGGTTAAATTCAGATTGGCCAGAAAGAATGCAAGAGATTCTTTCTCTTGGTCAACAGAGAAGACCGTTACAGGTGACCATTAACGGGAATGGTTCTTTGAGGAGATTTACAAGTATGTTAACTCTTCCGTACACAATTTTGTCTTATTTTACGTTTTCCGCAAAATCTTGTATGATAAGATGCCATGCAATCTTAATATTTATTTTATGTTCAGTTATTGCAATAAATTTTCGGGTAATCATGGAAACATGAACTCTTATCTTGGCCTATTACAATTGGATTTTCATATGATCGGATAATCTTATGTCGTGAACCAAACGAGACCTTATTTTTCTGGCAAATATTGTGACTATAAAAAAAACATTTTCCGTTATCTGAACTCGTTAATCTTGCTGCTTTTCGACAGGCTTAGATCAGCGCCAGAAATGATCCGCTCAACAAACCTATCAGATTCAAAAATGGAGAACGACCAGAAAAAGAGTTTGGTCAACGTATTTAACAGAGAGGTTGGTTATGGGTTGACATTCGAGTTCATCGGCAAATTCTTTCGATATTTATCAGAGATTCAATTTTGATGCTTGAGTTAAGCTAATGTATCTTTATTACAGGAAAAAAGAAAAAAAAGAAAAGGAAAACAAATAAGTAGCCAATACCAACCAATTTTGCCTCTCTCTTTCTTTTTTTTTTTGTTTTTTTAATTTATTATTATTTTTATATTTGTATTTTAATATTTTGTTGCTATTTTCCTCATTTAGTCAATGATGAGACTTTTAAAATTTAGAATGTGTAGGCATAGACTTATAGCTTTGATTCTCTTGACTTTTTTTGATTACAAGCCAAGTGAATTAAATCATTGTAAATATCATTAAGTTAAATGTAATTGTATTGATTAATGCTTTCGATTTCTGTTTTATTACGCTTCATTTGGATCGAAGGATTTGAAATTACGTCGTCGACGATTTTATTTTATTTTTATTTTCAATTTATTCCAAATGCTTATCTCTTATTTCAAACCACTAATCTGAAAAATAAAAACAAAAAAAATTAAATAATTAGAACTAAAATCTCAAAAATCACTAACCAATTTCAAAAGAGTAAAACAAGAACATATATATAATTCTGCAGATCTGCTTACATTAACAGGTTTTTACACTCTAATCTAAATGTCACATATTCTGCGAGGAAATTGTACTCTAATCGATAATCGAAGTGGGACCCACCGTGTAATATATAGATAATTATATTTATTTCATTGTTCGTCTTGACGAAGTTGTACATGAGGACAAGGTCTATCGGGCTCTCCCCGCGTCCACAAATGCTTCAAATCACCTCTTTTCTTCGCTAACGTTATCAATGTACCTAAATAATTTAATTACCATAAACAATTATGAAAACTTACATATATAAAAAATAAAATAAAAAAATAAAATCGTCAAATATTATTTTCGTTTACCAACCTAGCGTGAACGGAACGATATAAAGCAAAGCCGGTTGCCCGTGTCCATCCATCATGTTTAGAGCAATATATGTAACCAGAAGACCTGTGTCCAATTTTTTTTATTTTTTTTCAAATGTTACATTTTCATGTAATAATAATAATAATAAATAAATAAATATATAAATAAATAAATAAAGATTTGGAGCATACCTAAACCATAAGCAATCATTGCCCAGAGAAAATATCCATTTTTGAGGCTTTTATTGGACAACCAATCATACCTGCTCATTTTTTCATAATACTTAAAAACATATATAAATATAATTTTTTTCGACATTTTTATTGCTCGAAAATAATTGATTTACTAAGAAAAAAGAACCTGAGGGAAAATGCTACGAGCAATCCCGGTAAAATAATATCGCCAAATCCAATAATGCTATATCCACCCCAAGGATCGAACATTCGAGGGATTTTCAATAGCATCGGAATTCCATCTTCTCCGCTTCCGTCACCTCTAGCAACCTGACAATAGCCAAAAAAATTCACTAACACGTTTTCAATTAATCCGTTCGTTTTTATTTAATTCGTTTGATTCAATTTAATTAAAAAAAAAAAACATTACTCACCACTATCATCACACTCTTGTGGAACCACAATTTCGAGATAAATACCCAAAATATATCGTACAAGAACGCACAACCGAGCAGAACTGCTCCCACCTGAGCATATTCAAATGATTAAAAAAAAATCGGGATCATTTAATTTATAGTGTCTCCGAGAAAAAAAAATCATTTAATTGAGATAATAAATCACCTTCAGATTAGGAACTCGTATTATCTGGAGAACAGTGATTATCAATGCAATGCCCTGTTAACAAGGAACGAATCGAATCGAACCAATTATTTTTGCCGCCATTAGTATATATATTTTTTTAAGAATTAAAGATTGCAAAAAAAAATAAAAAAAAATAGAGATTTTATTTAAGTTGAAATCTTACGAGTATATCTTGACCAATCCATGCAAAGGACACGTGGCGAAAAAGTGCCCATAAAACGGCAAACGATATGCAGAAAGGAGAAACAGCGAGCGTCAAATGTGAGACAGCTCCCACACAAGGTACTTTAACAAATGTTTCTGCTGCATTCTCAAACCATCTGAAACTATATTCAACACGATGTAAGTATATTTCACTAACGCCTCGTTTGGTTCCTAAGATAAGATTAAGACGAGATTAAATAATTTTACGAAAAAACCCAATTGATCATCTCCGAATTGGCCAAGATTATAGCCATTTTAACGAAAATTAAAAAAAAAGGATTATTTAATCAATCATGGCTAATCTGACCAACCAAACGAGGCCTTCGAATATGAGACAATCGGGTTTTGGAGGGAAAAAAAATGCATACCATGATAATAGAGCCACTACACAAGTTTGGAGACCCTGCAAAATAATAAAATTAAAAACCTTAGAAGAAAAAATAATCTCGAAAATCCGATTTTTTTTTGTTTTAATTAAAATCCCACATGGAATAAAATTGGTTAAAGTCGTACCTCTACGCCACCTATGCAAAAGACAACGACGAGAATCTCGATGAACCAATAAGACATTAACTTGTATAACATAAGCAAGAAACACGAGGCGACCACAACAAATAGGATAGCTGAGGTTGTATTGATGTCCACAAATCCGCTCGAGTGACAATTTTCTTCACATACGTATTCTTCACAACCATCCTGCGAGAATTTTAAAATGCAATATATGCATGGGAGGCAAAATCTATATTTGCATGGAATATATCGAAAAAATCGGAATTAGCATTATCGTAAAAATTCCAAGTTTTTTCGGAAGTGGAAAACTAACTCAAATTCTGTTCCGAAATTTTTTTTTTGGAAAATTTGGAATGATTTTATTTTTTTCGAAAAGCGGACACTTTTCGATCGGAATTTGAAAATTCCTAAACTTTTGGTAATTTGTAATACAAAATAAATACATAATAATACTGATATCATAACGTGTATTTTTTCGGGGGAAATCCGATTTTTCAATAAAATTAAAATCGGATTGGAAATCGGAATCTATTATATTCCAATTCCATTCCAACAAATACCGGAAAAAAGGGGAAAAAAAATCGGAGATCGTAATTTCAAAATTCGGAATGAAAAATATTGTTCCAAAAGCGGAAGTTTTCAGATTGGAATCAGCATAATTCGGAATTTCCGTTCCGATTTCCACCCCAACTAGAGAATATAAGTACGAGTTTTCTCACCTTTAATAGTTTGTCTTGCTCTATAGCTGCCTCTCTGGCACTCCAAGCCGACCAATAAGACGCGCACAAAATCGTACCGACTGCCATTAGCCATAAAAACACTTCTGCCACATCAACTTCGGGGCGCTGCGGTGAGTAAATCTGAATTGAAACTGAAAATAAGGACAATCCCATGAATAACAACTCAAGCAAAATAAAACTACGTATATAGATAGATACAAATTCATTTTATTGCGTTTATATATATACATATATAATTTTTGTTTTCCTAAACGCAGAGCGTTAAAAAGCTTACCGTTCGAAGTGTTCGCCATGTTTTGTTTCAAACTCACACCAGCATCTTTTGGGAGCATTACAACAGGTATACGTATACTTACGTCGGTTTCGTTCGCTTCACAAACCATCTTAAAGAGCTCTGTAAAAAAAATTAAAAAATACATATTCGACATTAAAATATATTCCGAAACGGGGCAACAAAAAAGAATATATGTATTAAAAAAAAAAAAAAAACCTTTTTCGCTGTTTATGATGAGTAAAGCAGAAGCGCCAGCAGCTTCCGCAATATTTCCTTTGGTGACGAAACTGCAATTGCCTCGGTGAACCAATATAACATCCCCCACCAGCTACAGAATACCAAAACGCTGTAAGATGAGCCCCGAATATAAAAACGACTTCTTTTTAACAAACATTAGTTTTTTATTTTTATTTAAAAAAAAAAAGCCGTCGCCATAGTAGAAAGCAAACCTTATTTTTTGGTTTACTACAACAATCGGGAGGGTCTGCGAGAGTAACTTTTGTCTGGTTAGCACGTTTCTCTTTCGATACCAAATTGGGGCCGAATCTTGCGCCGACGCCCACAAATTCCATTATTTCTTTACCATTTACCCAAACCGGTACTTTAACCTATTCAATAAGCACCAAATTAATAACAAACACGTAAGAAAAACTTCAACTTCGATTGGAGGTGTATCAACATTTGAACCTTCGATATTAGCATAAGATAGCAAAAAAACCCGATACTAGCACATCTTGTATCTACTTGGTAAGTTTATGATTATCGAACAAAGTTTCAAGAAAATCGGTAAAATCAAGAAACGTTAATCGGTCAAAACTAACTAAAACCCAAATGCATTCGTCATTGAACTCCGAAATCCCGACTAAACGTGGAATTCACGATGCTATTAAAGATCCAATCGAAATTTCCAAGAAGAAACAAAAACAACGAAATCGAGCTTAAAAGAACCTCGTAAGTATTAGCATCACTCAAAGGATTACACAATCAAAAAAGTCAAAATACAGTAATTAGTGTAAGATTAGTACTTTATAAACACATTAGATTAAAAAGGGCAAAGTCAAAATACAGATATACAGAAAAAAACATAAGGGAACAAAAATTCCGACCAGATAACAAAAACCCTCACCGGATACAACCTAGAACAATACAAGAAACATCATAAACATAATAAAAAACATTACTTTATATCAAAAAATCAAATAAAAATAAAATAAAATGACTATCTTCAAAATGGAAAAAAATAAAAATAAAAAATATTTAAAATGAAAAAATGGCAAAACAAAAAAAAAAGATTGGATTTTTACCAGAACAAAATCATTGTCACAACCAGGCCTCTTTGGAGCAATATCATCTTGGTGAACTATATCATCTGCAAACGCAATAGAGCAGCAAAACAACAGAGTAACCGCATAGAAAGAACTGTAGACAACTCTGTCCATCAACTCAACAAAACAAGAGAGAGAGAGAGAGAGAGAGAGAAAGTCAATAATGATTTTTTTTGTTTTTCTGCAGGTATATATATATTGTATATATTGAATATATTATATGTTAAGAGATGTGGGAACTGTGAGACAAAAGACAGAGGAATTGAGATATGTACGAAGGAAGGATGTAAGAAAGGAGATGGAGAAAAGTTCTTAAGGGGCTGTTTGGCTTTGTTTTCTATTTTTGATTTTTTGATTTTCCTTTTTCACCTTTAGAAAACAACGCCGTGTTTTAACCGTTGAACTAGCTTTCTATCTTTTTCGGGGTATGAATCTTTTGGCCGTCTCGGCGGTGGCGCGTGCGTCGAACGCGATGTAGTTATATTTGTCCCAAGTTCAGATTTACTTTGCTAAATTAAGTGAATTTTTTGGTCAGTCAACCCCTCTGACCTCCCTTTATTTATTATTATTATTTATTATTAATTATTAATATAGTTTTTTAAAATTATAGCATGTGAATATAATAATTGTGGATATTGGAACTTATTTTGTTACAATTTATCACTAGTCTTATCATAATTTCTTGCATCTCTTATCACAATTTATCAAATGAACGTTGTTCATTATTCTCGATCGTTTATATACCTATAAAATCAATTTATTTAATTGTAAAAGTTTGTTAGTTCAGATTTATCGTGTAACTAATAAGATCTTATTAAAATATTAAAAAACGTCTTTTAAAATGTTATAACCTGATTTTGTTTGGTTTTTTATAGGCACGAGATAAGCTATGCAACTCCTAACTTGAATATAAAGAAATCGAACGTAAGAAGATATAATCCTATATGATTTCTACACGCGCCTTCAACAGTTCAATTCACCAAAAAACCCTAAATCTGTCTCTCCATCGTCACCACACCGCCGTCACAACACACCATCATCACCTTACTTTGATATTATGATGGGTTTTTTTATTACAAATAAATAAATAAAATTACAACTCGCACCACCAACCAAGGCAGAACCACCACCCATCAAAATCCGATTTCGGTGATAAATCGACAATTTATGGCTTTTGTTAAGATCTGCCGACGACGACCCCGACTTCGACAGCGACGGAGACGGCACCGACGACAATGGCTTCAACGGAATTAGCATCGTTGTTCTGGTTGGTTCTTCATCTTCCGATCAAGAGAGAATAATCTAAAGAATTGAGAGAGAAAAGTATAATATGGAGAAAAAAAAAAGAGAGGATAAACCGGAGAAGAAGAGACGGGAGAAAAGAGAAAATAAGATTAGAGTTTGAAAGAGTATAGTAGACAATTAAGGGTAGTTTTGGAATAATGAAAATATCACTGGGGTGGAATATTAGGTAAGGGGGTTTTCTCTAATTATTTTTGGAAGGGGGTGTTTTCTTAACTCGTTTACCTAGATGAGGGGGTTCTTGCTAATTATCCCTAAAAATAATAATAAAGTACTGTTCGTAGAACTTATCTACCAGCACGACGGACGACGCGGTTTTCAATTTCTCAGACTACAAATATAAATATATACGAACCGCTCCCAAACGCGCCGCTTCTCAGCTAGCAGAAAAAGGCCAAAGCGAGTGGGGCCCACGTACAGTGATTAAATAATACCGGCCACCGGTCGGGCCGGTACTTTATTTTTCCGTATATTTTGGCCGTACTGATAAGACGGCGCATTAAAAATCAATTATACGTGCTCAGATTCAGGTACGGGCTGGCCGCTAGGAGCTACGCTACAGTGTGATCGTTCCCACCCACACCGAACACGTGTCTTCTATCTGATTGGTCCAGGGTTTAAATTCAAATTGGGCCCAATGTAAAAGGCTTTTTCTTAATCGGGCCGTATAAATATGGGCCCATTAGATATTTTCCGTAAGCCCATTTATTATTTTTTTTCTGTCGTTCATTTTAACTATAAACGGCGTCGTTTTGGTGTAGCCTCTTTCCACCTCTTCTCGACCTGTAGCAGTTCCGATTGTGCGTGAAAACGGCGCCATCTTTCGTCGGCGTTACGTTTGCGTGAACTCCGGCTCCGGTGAGTTCAGGTGTACTTTGTCTGTTTATATGAATTTGTTTTAATTGTTGTTTTTTTTTTCAATTTTTGTAACCGAATATATTACTCGAGTAAGCATTTATTGGATTCTGATTTTGTCGAGGAATTCGAAACGAGATTGAGTACGTTTTAGTTTCGAATATTGAATTTAAGTTTGCTGATATGAGGTGATGTGAATTTAACAGTTTGATTTGTGTTGGAAATGTTTGATAGTAGAAAATCTATGAATAAACTGTTTCCATTTGAAACTCCGAGTGTTGTTGTTGATGAGTTGCAAACAGCTCCCAGTTTGAACTTGGGAGGGTTTTCTGGAAGTTATCGCATTATTTCGTTTCGATCTGGTTTGAAGTAGGAGATTTGTTTATTCGATGTGCTTGTGTTTTTGCTGTCTTTGCAAACTAAGATTACTTGAATCCAGTTTTTCCTTTCATTTCATGTTCATGTTAATTTGTGAAGGACCAACGGTATGTTCGGTTGTGGTTTGTAATTGTTAACGGCAAGATGATTTTTGAACCTGGCTTAATAATGTGCCGGTTTGATTTGGATAGCTAAGTGTCTAATCAGTATGAATTCTTCATCACCGTGCTCATTGAACCTTGTTTTCTTTTTTTTTTTTTTTTTTTTTTTCCCGTATGAAGGTTTCACAGGTTGAAGGATTATGTTCATTTCTAGGTTTTATCGGCAAGGAGCTCATACAATCAAGAATCTGGTAAAAGGTCTGCCTCTTACCCCTTTCTTTAGTGTAATTTACACATTGAGTATAATAAAGCTTATTGCTGACATTGCTTGCCTGGAGTTATTTTTGCTCCAATGACGGTACTTTTCATGCTCTTCTTTTTCATAAATTTGCTTTGATCCATTGCAGCTCCAGCTCTTAATCCAAGGACTTCCTACTCCCCTGTGGTTTATAATCAATCTATAGGAGCCCTGGTTAGTAAACTTTGACCTTGTATGGATTTGCGATTCTCTATTGACACCATTCGAATCTGTTAATATGTTCGAGATGAGCAACGTAGGCTATTGATAATCGTAAATATGATTAAAGTTGAGGAGGCCCATTGTTTTTAGTCGGCAATCTTGTGGGTCGTGTCGAATTTTGCCTGTATCAAATAAATTGAAAAGAATTTCTAGGTGCATGAGGCCTCACGCAGTCACGCTTCTTTTAATGTTGGACAATAGATTTAATTGAGTTCATTACAGTAAGAGTTGTGGATTGCAAAAGTGGGTCTCCACTAAATATTATGCTTAGGCTATCAAAACGGAAACAAATGCTGGAAAAAGTGTAAGAATGAAATATTTGACATTAAAGTATCAAGTCATCTGATTAAAACCAAAAACAAATAAGTTGAAAAACTAAGAAGAATTAGAACTTTTGGAGCACCAACCACCCAATTGTGAGGATATTATATATTTCCCTTTGCTTTTCTGTCTTTGGGTTCTCAACGTGATTAAACTTAAAACCTGTGTATATCTTTGTGGATTCAGAAACATGAATTTTTTAGCAGTACAACCGCTAAACAGGACTCGGAAGACGGAAATGAAGAAAACGAGAAGTAAGTCTTTTGGACAAAATATTGTTCTCTTTTTAGTTGTTTCAAATGGCAAAATCGGGTCCTGATTAGTTTTTCATTAAGTATTGCTGTCTAAATATTTTCAACTGTTGGAATTGTAAAACGTGGTATCTGAAGGGCATCTGATATTCTTGTTCTTACATATTCTCTATGATCGTCATTTGGAATTTTCAGAATAAATGTGACATTTGTTGACAAGGAGGGAGATGAGACACTTATTAAGGTCCCAATTGGAATGTCGATGTTAGAGGCTGCACATGAAAATGACATAGATCTTGAAGGTGAACTTACTATAGTGGCTGTGTTTATTGTATACCCCATGCTATGTATGGTCAATCATTGTATTAGTTAAAACTAATTAATACTATTTAATGCCTATATTGAGATATAATAAATGATTAGCTAAAATTTTGATTTCATGAGATTTCGCAACTACAGTAATTCCCGGTAGTTTCGTGCGAGTCGAAGTCTACGAAGCTAGCTTAATCCTGTGATTTTATTGTAGGAGCATGTGAAGGGTCACTCGCTTGTTCCACTTGTCATGTAATTGTGATGGTAAGTTATTGGGGCAAATACATTTATTCTGCTTAAAATGAAATATTATAATTCATCCTCATATGTTATTTCGATGCTTTTTTGGCAGGATATGGAGCAATATAACAAATTACCTGATCCAAGTGACGAGGAAAATGACATGTTAGACCTTGCATTTGGCCTCACAGAAACGTACGTCTCTTGCCTTTGACATCAATAAATCATTTCTGGTCTCTGTAGCAAATTTATTTAAATATGTGATGATTTTCCGCAGGTCCCGTTTGGGTTGTCAAATAATTGCAAAATCTGAACTTGAAGGACTTCGCTTAGCAATCCCCGCTGCAACACGAAACTTTGCTGTCGATGGGTTTAAGCCAAAACCTCATTAAATCATTCTTGCGGAGTAGATGAAAAAGAAGTCTTTGGTGTAGATTATCACAGATGGGAATCGAACAATTTTGTTGTTAGTAGTGAGAAAAACTTGACTAGTTAGTAATTAATAATTATCTGTGTGTCGACGAGCCAACTTTTATTCCTTTTTTTCTTTTTCCCTCTCGGTTATATTGCACCCGTGTATTTTATTACATCATAAAATGAGCTTAGTTTCCGGCAAACAAGATCAATCGTAGATGAACAATTTTCACATTTTTTTTCTGGGCATCTTTGAGGTCGAATATTGTAGCAACGATTGGCGAAATTTTCTCGCTTTATTACGATAAAACTGAACTTGATAAAATTCACGCTTAATCCTTCCAAAATACAAATCAATAAAACAAATTAAACTAATGAGGCTGTACGTTTAAATCGTATTTCCACGAAGAGAAACGACGTTATCTGCACAATAATATTTGGCTTTATGCAGCACTAGTATGGAAACACAGAATCCATAAGCACACAGTCTCTTACATTATTGGCATCACATATAGTCTAAGGAGAATTCCAACCACCTGGAAACTTGTTCAGGCACATCACCCTCCAATAACAGTCACCAATTCACACAACAAAACAAAAACCAATAGCCTTTCCACAGGCAATTATCGCCACTCTGTAGAGCAGTACAAAACCGAAAAGTGGGAACCGATAACCCAAAACAAAAGATATACGCTATTACGTATTTCAATGTACTATACAGCTTGCAATGTGCATATACACCTATAAAATCGACCTTTACAAATAAATGAGGGAAAAAAGAAAAGGTAAAGAACGTGTGGAAGATGAATACAGCTTTAAGATTGTTGTAGCCATTCTTGTATTGCGGATCGAAGTGCATGGTTAGGCACCAAGTTACAGTTTGGAAGTTTAAGGTTGGTCATGGGTGAAGTATCATGGCCGCTCTCAAGCCATCCCTTGAGAGCTTCTGATTCGTACGTAAAACCATCAGCTGCAAGCACAGGATCTTGCATGATTTCCTGCAAAATTCAACGGATAAATATTTACCAGGTTATAACTTGTAACGAAAATCTATTGAAATATAGACGATGCGCATCATATATACGATGTTTTCTTCAAGTACAACTAACCTGGAAAATGGGACAAACGAAATAGGCTGGAATATGGTGGCTCTCTTCAGAACCAAATCGCAGAGATGTTACACCACACGAAACTTTCATTGGCTCAAGCACTCTCCACACCTCAGAAGCAAGATCAGGGCGGAACCCACTGTTCATGTCAGCGCAACTGAGTGCTAAATGAGCCAGCTGTTTCGCCTGCACAAACGGCCAGTCGCCAGCTGCCGCATCGAGCACTTCTTTCAAAGTCCCCTTATCCAACGCAACTTGAACGTCATTGGTTAGCCCTATTGCAGGTCTTCCAGTTAACAGTCTTAGTAATATAACTCCAAAAGAGTACACATCTGATTTCGGAGTGAGCTCTCCTGTTAGGAGAAACTCTGGATCGATGTATATAAAGGTTCCTTTCGGGTCAGCCCTGTGACATAGTGTTGTATTGTTGTCTGAAGTTTTGTCTTTATTGAGTTCTCGAGAAACTCCGAAATGGGATAGCTTGCTCACGAAGTTTTCGTCGAGGAGAATGCTTCCTGGATTGAGATCACCGTGGACAATTCCGTTTGGGCGACAAGAATGGAGAAATATGAGAGCAGAGCATAGCTCTGCAGCTATACGGATTCGAGTTTTCCATGACAATGGAGGTGTGTTGTTTTTACAGTTGAGTCGATCTTCTAAGTTTCCATTCGGAAGATATTCGTAAATAAGAGACCAAGCTTCGGGGCAGGCTCCTATGAGGGTAACTATGTTTGGGTGCCTCAACTTGCTCAAGATACTTACCTAAAACAAGAAGACAAGATATAAAATTGTAATAGGCAATAATTTACTTTTTATCTAACATAGTGAACAGCTGTTGAAACATGAAAGGCGAAAAAAAGATCTCAGGGTTAATACCAGTATATAGTCTGCACTCAAATAGAATGTGAAAATAAGTGATAGCATTAGTAGGGTACATTTGAAAGGCACAGACTAGATGGCAGATGAAACTCTTTTGGAAATAGAGCTGTATAATTTCGTGGTATAGAGAGGCAAAATGGATGTATAAACATGGGAGATATTATGATTGAGAGGCAAAACTCAAAAGAAACATAAATAAATATATTCATCAATTATCAGGTTCCTTGACTATCAGGTTACCTCATGTTGATATTCATAAGGTCCTTGCAGGGTATCTGAATGTAGCATTTTTATAACCACTTGTGTGTGCCGGAGATTCCCTCTGTATATACTTCCATACACCCCTTGACCGATCTTCAAGGATTGGCTAAAGTTGCTCGTAGCCCCTTCAATTTCCCAGTAAAAAAATTCTGAAAAGAATTGAGATTTAGACGAACTCGATGCCACCTCAGCTTGTTTTTTTCTCAGCTCCTCGGCTACCTTGAGGGCATTATCAAGATCCACCTGCAATTCATCTCTTTCTTGCTTGTACTTCTGCAATAGATCGACAGCAGAAAACATTTTCTGCTCCAATTCGTCGACCATCCTATCAGAATCTGCTATTTGACACTCGAGAGAGTACTTCTGGTCTAGGGCAACTCTGAGTTCTTCCATTATTCCGTTGAGTTCCCATTGCAACCTCTCGGTTTCCTTTCTATCTCTTGCTAGTGCTTCTTCGCTTTCCTTTCTGCGTCTTAGCTCCTCCACGTACAATACTTCGGATGCTTTAGCCTAAAATGTGAATGGAATGAATGTGAGTCATCTGCCGGGTGATTGACGATGAAGAATTAGCTTAAAAGGTTGCAATATTCTGAAATCAGATAGGAAACTTAAGAAATTTATAATACCCCAAAAGGACGAGGATAGATTTTTGTTGTAGTTCAAACAACGTCTAGAGAGAACTATGAAAAATGCATGTACAAACAAAAGCTAAAAAGTTCAAGAAACTATATGATGAAACCATGTTAAACTATAACCAATATACATACATATATGTACGTGTGTGAGCATCATATCACTATACTTCTATTTTAAAACAAAAGAAGAAAGATAGGAAACAGAGTAGAAACTTTACTCTGCGAATAAAATCAATGCCATCTTTCTCAGCTTTCTTACGCCTAATTGATTCCTCATATGCTTCTTTCCGCGAATTTTCTGCTTCCACCATAAATTGTTCAATCCTATCATAAAGTTCATCATTCGTATTCCCTTCCTGCTCAAATTCATCAACTAGTCAGAAACAACCAACCAGTAATATATTTAATCATTTTTTTCTCTGCTAACTACTACAGTAATTCCCCTTGATCGATAAAGCTAATAGCTTAATATACATTTTTAGGATCTTTCTTTTTTTCTCAAAAAAAAACAAAAAGAGAGAGGAAAATTTCACTTTTGTTACATTGATGTACTTACTATAGCAGTGGAAGCTATAGGTGAACCAGACCCGATTTCATTTTCCTGAGTACATGGAACAGTGATTAAGGCCGACGAATTCTCGATTATTTCACTTGAAGAACATGTTGAAATACGTGAATTTACTGAAGGACTTCCCCTCGATAGGCTGTCCCAGTCAGAGTTCCCTTCTCGATTCAAACTGCTCTCGGGTGACATCCATGCAAAGCCATTGGGCGGTTCTTCAGAACTGAACATACGGTTATTAAATCCTGTGCTTCGAAGCCCCATTTGATTGCTTTCCCCTTCTGCCCCTGATCGGGATCTCAAGGAATGTGCAACTTCTTTGGCATTTGGACTTTCTTGTACTTTACTTTCCCTACATAGATTTGACCCACAGCATTAGACTTAACATATCAAGGAATGATTGTTTAGGAATTGAGTGACTGATAATGTAATTTAAGTGCCACTCTATATGAATACCTCGTATGTATAAGGCTCCCTTTGCATATAAACCAAATGTGACAGGAACTAGGTGCTTCTGCACACACATGAGTTGCTTTCTTAGACCTGGGCTCCTTCATTTTTCTGCAATTTTGAGCAAACCAATAGTAAGCTACGAACTTAGACAATGGAGTCGATATTTTATGACAGGAAGTGAAGAAACATGAAGCCAAAGAAAATAAACGTTATAATGATCAAAACTAGCGGTACTTTCGAGCTTATACAAACAGAGCTGCTATTTATATGAGGAGAAAATGGTAAATCAAGAAGTGTTAAAAAGCTACTGAAGAAGAATCCTCTTCTTTAAGGAACTTCTATTAACTCTAATAAACAGTACGTAAGGAGAAACTGTGATCAGATTTTTGGGGGTCCAATCCATTTTAGCAATCACAAACAGAGAATGCTAGTAATCAGTTAAGAATCTGACCAACTTCGCCATTCGAACGGGTTATAAATGAAGTCAAATAAATTTTGAGTTAAGATTTTTGTTTGTCTGAAACAGGATATTTTAGCAATATACCTTGAATAATGCTTATTAGCTGCCGCTCCCATGACAAGCCATTTAATACCTTGCTCGGTTATGAGCCGCACTATGCCCTTCTCAATAGAGTCCATTTCTATGTATAGCTTCTCTGCTCGTACCTATATAGCGAGCACATACAATCGAAACACTAAGCAAAAAGTTGCATTATTAAGTCTTGATAACTAAAACTTTTAAGTATGTTCTGTAACTAAAATCTTTGAGAAAACAAGAAACGGTCAATACCCCTGCTCGGTCACAAGTTCGAGTATACTTGTCAAGAATCTTGTGCATCTCCAACCTCTCCTTTGCATGATATGCTTTAACTTGATCTTCATCCACTAGGCTAATTGAAACTTTACCGCCCACTGCAAATCCAGAAGCAAAACATAATTCAGCAATTTATTCTAGTGAAGCGAGTGTAATAGCAGAGAAGGAGATAGGCGAAATTGATTCGCCCCAAAACAAAATCAAACAACAAATCCCTAGACTAGTTCGGGCTGTGGTTGCATTTACTTTCTCTTGAAAATCGTCATCCAAATGCAAATTGAAGCAAAAAAACGTATACGAAACAACATGTAATCATCCAATACCAAAGATGATTTCAGAAGGCTATGATTAGGGTTTTGTGATCAGTAAGAACTACTGGAGTAGAACAGAGATGAATAAACAATTCTGAACAAGAGCAAAACTAATCTGATCAATCAATCAATCAATGATCAAACCGATTAAAAAATTCAACGAACTAACCGCAATGAAATTCTGAAATTACACACACACACACACACACACACACACACACACACACACACACACACACACACACACACACACACACACACACACACACACTAGAACCCTAGAAATTAATGACAACAAAATAAAAGCACTAACTCATGGGCATCTTCTGAGCAGGTTGATGAACATGTAGTATGAAAATCTTCTTCCCTCTGGAGTTATGCAGAGCCCACATTAAAACAGTGGCACCTTCCTTAACATCCTTCCCCAAAGCCACAAACATTACGTCATCCTGTAGAGCAAGATACGGCGTCGTTTTCGGCACCTCCAATTCCCCCATAATTTGGCTCCTCGTGCTGCCGCTGCTGCTCAAATTCAAATTCGACGTATCAATTTCCGGATACCTAATTCTGTTATTCTGCTGCTGAATTTCCACCATTGCCATCAAATAACTTGAATAAATTAAATAAATAAAAAACTGCTCAGAAATTATATTTCAGAAGTAGACTTTTTTTTTTTTCTGGCTTGGAGCTTTGCTTGTTGTTGGCCATTTTTGTTTGTGATATATATATACATATACATATACATATATATAGATATATGTATATATATAGTGTATATGAAATTGGGGAAGAAAACAAAGTTTGATGAAATTGTTGGGAAAATGTTGTGGAGATGATTCAGAGGTCAACTAATTAGTTTTGGCTCTTTGCTTGCTGCAATCACTACATCAAAAGACCAAGTGTAGCTTTTTCTAAGGTTGACTTTATTAATAAATTAATAAACAATCAATATAAAATTACATGTATATATTTATATATATAATTTAGGGAGCAAATTTGTTTATTGCTCTTAAAAAAAATGAAATTTGATTAAAAAAAATTAAAAAGAAGATCAATTTATGATCGTTGGGAAAACCAGATTTCAACTCTTAAACATAGTTTTTTTTTTTTTTTAATAAATAAAAAATTTAAATAAGTGAATAGTTATTTCGATTTAATTTAAACACAATATGATAGGCAAACATGGCCCAATAACTTTGGGGGATTTTAAGTGAAAATACTTATATATTGAATTGGATTTTATTTAGATAGTATGCAAATATGGCCCAATAACTTTGGAGAATTTTAACATTCCGACCAAATTAGTCTAGATGGAAGCAAATCATCCTACAATAATTAGCCACGTCATCATCCAAACTAACTTAAAGAATATATAGTTAATTAAACAATGGCAATTTTGTAATATTGAAAGAGAACATCTAAATTATGTTAGTTAATTTTTTGAGCTGTGCTCCGCAACAACGTAGCGTGTAACGTAGTTGATGGAGCAAGACAGCGGAATATTAGGCAATGTTTGGATTTGGTTTGAGGGAATACTTTGAGAATTAAAATAATTTTGGTTATGAATATATCTTTTATGTAGCAGTTAAATTGTATCCGATGAGAGAGATATTTTTTAAATTGTTTATGAATTTCTTTAAAAAAAAGGAAAAATCTTATTAAACATAAACTCGTTTTCGGGAAAGAATAAAAATGTGATTAAAATCGAAACAAACATCACCTATTTAATTTTAATCCGAATATTCTTGTTGAAAATGAGAAAAATACAATTAATGCATCATTTAGAAACTTAAACCAACAAATAATTTTAATAAAAAAAAAAAAAAAAAGAGATTTCTTCAAATCCACAATAAAAGTCAAAACTATAGGAATGAATGTGTCAATTTTGTTAGTCCACACTCCACAGTGAATGAAGGTATATTCTGGTGCCCATAGCATATTCCGTCTATGAAGTCGTCAGCTTATGCCATTGCCTTGTCACCGATTATTTGTTTAATTAATTATTTGTCAACTTGAAATAAAATTATCTTTCTTCCGCGCTAAACTATCCTTAATCAACTAGACATAAGTATTCAATTCCTGCGCGCCAAATGCCAATTACTTCCCTATGATATTTTTTCTTTTTTATAATCATGCAAATTACTTTGAAATTAGATATATACACTTTCAACCACCAAAATATTTATAGAATATATATATATTGATGATTTATATGACTATAAAATCAATCTTATTTAGTTGTAACAATTTACTTGTTAGGACATTAGTATGTTGTAATTATAATTCTTGTATGAACACAAATTACAACTACTAAAAGCAGAATGAATAACACAATATTAATATGATTTGGACACAAAAGTGATCTATATCCACGATGATTTGGAAACAAGTTTTCACTAGTTTAGATTTTAAAGTGTATATTAATCGGACTTATCAACATTTGCAGGTCGATTTTTCGGTTTTCCAAAATTATCACAAAAAATCATCCATTGTATCCATAAATCATCGATTTTTCAACATAATAACACAAATATGTGCTCATGGAGACTTCTTAATAGTTTTTTCACAATAAAAAAATTATCGGATACGATCGATTTTGACAAAACACATTCGATTTGTACCATTTTCTTAGAACATTATTGTTGAAGGTTTTGCTTGGGCGTTGGTGTTGGATAGTTTGCTAAAGATTGCTCGAATTTTTTTAATTTTTTTTTGGGCATATTACAAATAAGCCCATCAGTGGGTACTTGTTCATAAAGAGATCCAGACAATAATCTCCTTTACCAATAAGTCCACACATGGTCTAGATTTTTGTAAATGACTAAAATAACCCCTCTTACTTTAATATGCTCCAATTACATCCTTAACTTAATTTAATTTCAATTTGACCCCAAATTTCACAAATTATTCAATTTTGACCCAAAACTTTTTTTTTTCACAAATTTTTTTTTTTCAAAAACTTTTTTTTTCCCGCCGGATTCCGGCGTTGACTTTTAAATTTTTTTTTTCTTTCTTCCGGATTCCGGCGTTGACTTTTCAAAATTTTTTTTTTTTTCTTTCTTCCGGATTTTTTTTCCGGATTCCGGCGTTGACCGGCGGTCAACGCCGGTCGACTTTTTTTTTTTTTTTTTTTTTTCTGTAACTTTTTTTTTCCGTTTAAACAGCAATATTGCTGTGAATGACAGTAATATTAACTATATTACTGTTAAACACAGTAAAATTAACTAAACTATAGTTTAACACAGTGATATTGCTATATTAATCTCTAGCACATTAATATTAACACAACAAAACTCATTATTATTGTATAATAAAGTAATATTACTATGTTGTCCGTTCAACAAATGTAAACATAATAAAAAAAAACCAAAAGAATTAATATTACTGTGAGTGACAATAATATTACTATAGCAACAGTAATATTACTATAGCAACAGTAATATTACAATAGTAGACAGTAATATTATTACGTTACTCCGTGAATAACTCAAACAAACAAAAAATCCAAACAAAATAATAATATTGATGTGGTTGACAGGAATATTACTATAACAACAGTAATATTACCGTCAACCACAGTAATATTATTGTGTTTACAGTAATATTACAATAATAGACAGTAATATTAATACGTTACTCCGTGAATAACTCAAACAAAACAAAAACCCCAAAAAAAAATAATAATATTGATTTTGTTGACAGTAATATTATTGTGTTTACAGTTATTTTACTGTCAACGACAGTAATATAATTACGTTGACTTGTCAACAAATCAAAAAAAATAAAAAAAATAATAATAAATAAAAAATAATAATATTGCATTAATTTACTGTCAACGGCAGCACAATTACATAAATGTAATGTCAACGGCAGTACAATTACGTTAATTAACTATCATTGACAGTATAATTACGTTAATTTACTGTCAGTGACAGCACAATTACGGTCAACGTTTAGCGGCGGACGTGGAAAAACCAAACAAACCAAACCAAAAAAAAAAAAAAACTTAAAAAAACACTAAAAAAAGTCAACGCCGGAAACCGACGAAAAAATCCGGAAGAAAAGAAAAGAAAAAAAAAAGGAAAAAGCAAAAAAAAAAAAGTCAACGCTGGAAACCGGCGAAAAAATCCGGAAGAAAGAAAAAAAAAATGAAAAGTCAACGCCGGAATCCGGCGGCAAAAAAAAGTTTTTGAATTTTTTTTTTTTTTGAAAAAAAAAAAAGTTTTGGGTCAAAATTTAATAATTTGTGAAATTTGGGGTCAAATTGAGATTAAATTAAGTTAAAGATGAAATTGGAGCATATTAAATTATACTTCAAAAAAAAGTCAAAATTGAATTTTTGTGGTCAAAATTGGACTTTTGTGGACAAAATTGATAAATTGGGGTTACAATTAAGAATTGGGTATAAATGGTTGAGGGTAATATTGGGATATACATGAATGTTTCCTTTAGTTATAATAAATATTAAAGGGATGGGCTTATTGGTGAAAGAGATATGTCCCCTAAACCTAGAATAATAAACATGCTTGGTTGGGGACTTTTGCATAAAAATCCTTTTTTTTTGTCTTGCAAAAACAAAAGAGGGGACATATAATTAATGGGTTTATTTAATATTTCTTTATTTTCCCTTTAGTCGAAGTAGCATTTTCCCCCGTGCGATGCACGGCATATTATTTAAATATTGAAAAATAATAATTAATTTAATACATAATAAGAAAATATAGTACACTAAGGCCCCGTTTGGTTGCTAAGATAAGCCATGATTAACTAAATAGTTGGACTTAATTTGATGTTTGGTATCTTCAATAACTTGCCGGGTCGACCCGCCAAAATTATATAATCATGGCTTATCTTGCCCTATCTTGGCTTATCTTGCCTTTTAATGAGTTTTTTTTTTGGACCTTTCAAGCTACAATAAAATAATTGGGTCTCATTAGATTATTTAATCTTATCTTGGCTAATCTTATCTTGCCAACCAAACGGGGCCTAATATAATAATACAGTATTATTCATATAGTGACAATAATATTACTATAGCAACAGTAATATTACTATAGCAACAGTAATATTACAATAGTAGACAGTAATATTATTACGTTACTTCGTGAATAACTCAAACAAACAAAAAATCCAAACAAAATAATAATATTGATGTGGTTGACAGGAATATTACTATAAAAACAGTAATATTACCGTCAATCACAGTAATATTATTGTGTTTACAGTAATATTACAATAATAGACAGTAATATTACCATTAGGATTTTTTAGGGTTGGCCAGCGTTTCTTTCTTTTATATATAAGATTAACATTTCGAATAGCCGCGGCCTATGTAAAGCTTTGCTCGGAGGCCTAAAGTTTCCCGGACCGGGCCCTGAGGGAAATGGGCCGGTTCGCCCAAGAGGGAAAAAGAAGGTAATGTGGGCCTATTATAAAGGCGGAGCGGTTCTGGGCCTGGACTAGGCGAGCACGGGTTGAATAGTATTTGACCCGAATATTCCCCTGACCCGTTTCCGACTGCTTCTGTATACTTCCTTGTCCAAACTTTCCTCCATAAATACCCTACAAAGTTCAAACACCAATTTCTCGCTCCATTTCCACACACTACTCTCACTAGAAAAATCATCAAACACTGCAGGAAAAGGCACCGGAGAAACAGAAGAATCAAACGTCTGCTACAGATTTTAAAGTTCGAATTGATCGATTCACTCAGAAAACGCTATTTCTCGAAGCGTAACAGTTTCTCGCACGAAGTTGGATCTGCGATCAGAAATGAAGCTGAAGATCAACAAAGCCTGCGATCTCAGCTCTATCTCTGTTCTCCCTCCGCAATCTAGGTTATATTTCTTCTATTTTTCGTTTTTTTTTTTGTTTCTGTTCGTATGCACTAGAACTACGGTTTTAAATTTCTACTGATTCAAATGCACATATCTGTAATTTACGAGAATAATCTGAGATTGACAGAGATACACCGGTTAATTCGAATGGTTTTGAACGTTCTGCTGTTTAAATATATGTATGTTTAATTTAGTAGAATAATGTGAGATTGACAGAGATGCACTGATTAGTTCGAATGATTTTGAACGTTCTGCTGATTTAAATATACACATGTTCAATTTACGAGAATAATCTGAGATCTACAGAGATGCCCTAATTAGTTTGGTCGATGTGTATATTGATACAAGAGTAATGAGAGAAATGCAGTAATATATTTTAAATTACCAACTTACGTGTAGAAAACTGATTCAATCATTTTTTTTTGTAATTATTTGAACATTTGTGAGCAAGTTTGGCTCTGATATTGAAGATCTGTGTGTTTTGCGCATTTAATTAGGAAGACGAGTGCGGTTTCGAGTGGATTAGAGTCTTCTTCTTCGATATTTGGGAGAAGCCAAACAGCATCACAGCTTCGGCCACAGCAGCCGCAACAATCACAGTTGACACTTTCGCAGGGAGTTTCATCACAGCACGGTCTCTTCTCGCAGTTTTCACAGAATTCTCAAGATGATATCCTCACTAACGAGGTGGGTATGTATATAATATTATGTGTTTATTTGCATGTATACACACATATAACATACACATGTATTTACAGTGTACTCAATTAGAGGATTTATTGGATCTCGAATATTGTTGAAATAAAAGTAGATTAGTGATTTTAATATTGTTATCAACTAGTGATTTCTGATATAGAAAGTGATGTTATCAGATTTTTAGTGTTCTCAACAGGATGAAAATAAAAGAATCAATAGAATTTAATATTCTTCGTGTTTTAATGCTTACAGCATACTTGCTTAAAACATGTTTAATTTCCAAAAATTATTTGCAGAAAATAGGATCTCAAGAAAGAGAGAACTCAGCAAGGAGGACATCTTGCTTGCCTCCAGTTAGTTACTCACGAGAAGAGAGTCAGATGATGGTATCTAGAAATTCCAACAATTTGGTACGCAAGTGGCCTGGTCAAGAAGTCAAATGTAAGATTCACATTTTACAGATTACGCATTATAACTGCCTTGGTTTGCTTGTTTATTGCAGCATGAAGTTAGGAAGCGTTTAACAGCCATAATTATTCTTTAATGGCTTAGTCTTTCTTATATTAAGTAGTTTCCCAGGAGTAAGAAGTTTAACATGGAAATTAGAAAAACTCTAAGAAATTTGGAAGTTTGTGTTGTGATTCTGATTATGAGATCAGACTTCTATGTGAAAAATAATGTGATCACGTGTTTGATTGGAACCAATAAACTCAACACTGACAACAGTCCTCATCTTGTTATTTTTGGATTTTCACAAGCAGGTCAGATTAGTGAAGAACTTGAGCACAGAATGGGAATGATCGAAACTTCATTAAGCAGGCTTGGAATGATTTTAGACTCCGTTCAGAGCGACATCATGCAAGTAAACAAGGGTACAAAAGAAGTATTATTAGAGAGTGAGTATACCATAGCTTCATCTTTTAATGAGAATTTAAAGTAACTTACATTTTCATTCCCAGAGAAACTGCACCTCTATCTGCCTTTTTCACTAAATTCAGGAATGCCTCCTAGTGATTATGTGAATTTAACCTTATAGTTACTAAGACACTTACCTAATAGAGAAGTATCCAGTTAATCGTGTCTTTTAAATGCCCGAGTATTTATGTTTTTAAGTTGACTGTCAGGGCTATGCTAAACACAAAGAGATATAATGAAAAAGATTGACATCAAACGAGTAGCACGTTATATAGTACATGACAAATTTTCTAATTTTTCTTCAGCTAAAGGCGTGTGGCAGAAATTGATTGTTCATGATGAATCACTGCAATCAATGGTAAAAGTTTCTTACCCAGCTCTCTCATGTCTTTACTCTCTTGACGTGCTTGTGTCACCGAAGCTAATTGGCTGTTGAAATTAAAGTCCGTTAAGTTGTTATTGACCAGAAAAAAGGTCAAGAAGACATCAGAACTTGCTTGGAGATGGGCTTGAAATCTCTGTCTGATCAAGTCAAGCAGATGATCGACCAAGAGAGTCCGAGGGAGATAATCTCAATGCTTTCAGCTCTAACAGAGAAAATTGACTCGCAAATGGTGAAATTACAAAATGACATCCACAAGGATTTCTGCCAAGAAATACAGGTATGTTTTGTGTAACATCTTTATTATTGGATCACTAAGGTTGATAATGAGTCACGGGTTGTATGCATTTCCAGTAGAATTACTTGATCACAGTTTGTCTTCAAATTCAAATACTTGTAGGCAATGTCATCCAGCATGAAGACATCCATACAACGGCAAACAAGCCCTTCAATACGCGGGCCTAAGGTACTCTTCTGTGCAACTATAAGACATAGAAAACAGCTTGATTATTAATTGTACTAGTTATCTTGAAGAACTTCTCGAGAACTTATACATGTTTACTTTTCTATAGGCTGTTAGCTGCTATGCTCCTCCACTGGAAGTTCAGTTTCCAAACAAGTACGTACTCCAGGCTTTCCCATAACTTGCATTGTATATGAATCTTGCATACACCCTATCACGTAATCAAAGATGATCTGTATTCTTTCTAGTATATGGGGTTATCTTGGGTAACTTATGAAATATGGTTTAAGTTGTTGTGGTTGTTTGAGTTCCTCTGGATGGCATTAAGGCTATAGTAAACTAAAAGGAATTTATTTAAGTGTTTCATAGAGGTGAAAGCCAAATTCGAATGTCTGTTGTTTGTTCTGTGAAAATGCACAAGCTTCTTGGAGTTCATTCTATTCATTATTTTGATTGATAGCTCAAGTTTAAAAGGCTTTGTCGGTCGATCATTGGATATCCTGCATACCAGTTTCCAACTTTTACATTTTGATCCACAACAGGCTCGAGTTTTTTACCCTATCAAATGATATCCTAAATACTTTATGTGTTGTCCCCCAAGTCCCCGACTTCAAGAATTATTAGGTTATAGGGATCCGATGGAAGAAAGTAGCTGTATTGTTGCTTTGAACTATTTCATTTAGTTTTTCCGTCCATATAACAGTGTTCTATGTGTGAAAGCAGTGTCATCGGAACAAATAAGTAGTAAATATGAGCGCACAACTGAATCCTAGATTCCAATATAAACAGTTTGAAGAAATGCTCCATAATATATTTCTAAGGTAGAAGAAGCGGGCCTTGTTCCTTCTTTGCCTCTCCATAGGTCTTTTCAATCTTATAGAGGTATTTTAGGCCACTTTCCCTCTTTGCATGCACCCCACTACATCAAGGACCTCACAAATTAGTCATTATACAGAATGGCTGCATAATTTTTGTTCACAATTTTTGTTATCTCATCTTCAGCTTGAGTTTTCTTTTCTATTCTACCAATCTTGCCCTCATCTTTCCCTATTGAATTTAAGATTTTTTTTGCATGTAGTGCAACAAGACGTTTTAAAGCACAGCAAACAAGTGTACTACCGAAGGCTGAAACGGGAGGCTGGACATCAGTAAAACAAGAACGAGCAACGTCTAAAGTTGGAAATCTTGATAAGAGGAGCAACCCGATAAAACCATCACCCAATCAAATGGTTGCTCTTGTTTCCCTTTCTTCTTTTACTCTCCATGTTACTTGTTATGATGTCTTGATATACGCGAGTTTTTAATTGGGACGAGATAAGTGGCTGTTATCTCCATATGTTTTTTTTCATAATTAGCATTTATATTTGAACATTTATGTTTGATTTGCAAAAATACGTACTAATTCGTAGCAGTAGAAACTCCTAGATGGTCAATAATATATGTACATTGACATTGGCACAGGACTGTAGAGTTCTCATCGAATCAGATGACGAAACTGATGCAGGTTTTTCCTGCTTGTTGAAGGAAAAAGGAACAGGTAATATTCCCGTGACTTGTTTCCTGCACTGGGTCGAGATTTATTTGTAATTCTAAGTATGGATGTTATTTTTGTTAGAAATAAATGAATATTCGAAAGAGCAAGCCGAGGAAGAAACTGCTCGTATCCTAAGGAAAGCAAGGAGGAGAAAGAGAAAACTCTGCAATACCATCATCATTAACTGAAGGTAGCCTATTGATATAACACTTCATTAAAAATTATAATATGCTTCGCCACATTTTGATTTGCCTAAAAACTGCCAATTAACATCACAATCTCGTGTTTGTTTACTCGTGCAATTTACACGGAGCGATAACCCAAATTTACATCTTCGTTTTTAGGTAGTGTGACTGCTTCAGGAAAGAACATAAACGGAGCTCAAATATGTCGCCACATGTCACAAGGTAAATCTCATCACATCAGATAAACGTATCTGTTAGAATTATATATCAAACAAACTCCTAAACCTAATTCTTCGCCTGCTAACTAGTCCTTCCCCACGCGTCACTCTTATTAATTCATTTTTATATCTCGAAACTTAGGAAAAAAAAGTTTCTGTATATTTGTAATTTGCCACTATAATCAAAATCTCCACCACATACGTGTAATAAAAAATACTTTGGTGTTACATTACATGTAGGAAGATGAAAATGATTCAAAATAATATCTTTCCTAAATGATTGAGGCCAAAGGTTCTTACAGAATATTGGACATCTATTGGGTATTATTAGGTCACGTTTGGTTGCCAAGATAAGATTAGCCAGGATAAGATTAAATAATATAATGAAACTCAATTATATTATTGGACCTTCAATAATCCAATAGATTAATCATGGCTAATCTCCCCAACCAAACGAGGCCTTAATGTAGTACTATATTAGTAGTGCTGGGATGAAAAGCTAAAGGTTGTCCTCTAGAAACAGTCTGTCAATTACCCGTGAGATGATTGATTTCACTTTTTGTGGGAAAGCATTAATGCTTCTCATCTGTTTCAAGGCATCTAAAGAAAAAAATGCCTAATCTTAAGGGATTAATTTTTTAACTTAACCATGGTTATTACGCATGGTTCATATGATTAATTGTCGGGTTAGTTTGTACCAAAGCCTTGTTTTTTTTCCCTCTCGAATCACAACATGAATTTGTCGTACTTGAGAATGAATACATATACGAAGTCTTTTTGAGTTCAATGATTATGACTATAAAATATATAAATAAATAAAAAACCTTGTCTCTTTTATGCCTTAATCTGATTTTATTCCTTGTGATAATACAAAAAAAGTTGTCTTAGAAATGATCAAATGATTTGGTTGCGATTATATTTAGGGACCACACGGTTGTAATCTAGACCTCAATAGTATTGGATAGCACATAATGTTTTACAATATTTCTGCCCAAGAAAATATTGTTTTAAATTAGAGCAAATTACAATCACACCCCTAAGGTAAGACTAAATTACGAAAAAATTCCTCATATTTGGATATTTACAACAACCTCTCGACTACGTATTGTCTTACACGTCCACCATTACGTTTTCAAATTTACTTACTAAATGTGGGTGGGGTTTGTACGAAAATACATAGTTGCGGAAGTTGTTGTAATTACCCAAACATTAGGGTTTTTTTGTAATTTAACCTTATCTTTGCGGGCTGGATGCAATTTTCCCTAATTGGTTATATTACTCCTTTTTAATCCAAATCGCCCAACTTCTCAATTTCGGAATCTAATAATCTCAAAGTGATTATTAACATTTGAAAATAAAGTCATTTGTACCATATTTCAATTATTGTTTCTCCTCAACATTTGAGTAGAGATATATGATATATCCCAATTGATACTTTGAACTGTCGGCCAAGGTAGGTTGATTTTCATTATCGTTATCAATTAAATTACTATGGTCCATGACTCATCATTCTATTGTTTACCTAATAATCCAACTCATAATTATATACATTTACTATTTAAATAAAGATTGATTTACATAGACTATGTTATTATAATAGCCGATTGTGATTTAACTCAAAAACTAATAGCTTTTCTTTCATTATTTAATTTGAACTTCATTTTCAAGACAAGACTGTCCAAACAAGGCAGCATCCTATGCTTATGTAAGATCGTTGAAATGAGAGTTGTACCAAAAAAGGGTTGGTTTCGTCACAAAATACTTTTGATTATCTTAATCAAACTTTATAAAAAATTATAATTTCTTTGTTGTTTAGAGTAAATTGTTCTCATTTTTTGTTTTGTTTTGAATCATGGTAACAGCTATTTTTGTGCAAAATAAATATTAATATTTATTTTATTTAAAGGACTGTAACTTCTTTTTTTTTTTTTTCTATTGGTGAAACGAATATTCCCTTGATAAAATTCTCAATTTTCGTTCATATAATTATTTACCATTAACTTAACATAGAATTTAAGCTTATTCATTTGTAAGAGTAAATAGTAGTAATTGGTAAATGTGAACAAATATTGGGCACCATGTGTGTGTGTGTGTTGAGATAAAAAGTTGGTGGTGGGCATGATTGAATTTTGAGACATAGAATGAATGCTTGTTGGTTGTGGGCATCATTTTTTCACCATCTCCCCCTAACTTTTTTTAAATTCCCCACTTCTCTTTTGAGATAAGCAAAGGGAAAAAGGAGGAAGTGGGGTTAGGTTAGGTTTTGTTTAGAAGGAAAAGAGATTAGAGTGATAACTATTTTTATTTTTAAAAATATATTTTTTTACAATAAGATCAAGCTAGAGTGTTTGTCGATTACGAAAATTAAGTCTGCATGGGTACAACCCAACTGTTTCGGAGATGGTAAGTCGGTGCAAGGTCCTATAATCGAGTACCGACGACCATAGTGTGGAAATTATCTACTCCAATGGAAATTTCAGTCGTAGGATCGAGTAACGAGTTGTTGAGTCACCATGATTTATGTTCCTCCACAAAAAAAAAATTGTCTAGTCAGTGGATGGGAACCTTGGGGCAAGAGATTTCGCTTTCTACTGCAATATTGCGAAAATAATGGTACCGTATGTCGAATAATCGTTTCAACTAGCGACAGGTCCGTACCAAAATACAACAAGAATTATAACATACACATTAAATACCATCTAAATTTTATGCTTTAACAAACAATTTATGCATATTGGATATAAGAAAAAGCAACCTTGAATAATATCCAAAAAAGAAAAAAAGAAAAATAATTAATTCCTCCTGCAAGTTGATTTTGCTGGACAGTGAAACAACACACGAAGACAGTGAAGTGAGATGAATCGTGGCATCTTTGAAACCCATCACAATCTTAACATAAAATTGTTTCCAACTTTTTAATTTTATTTTATTTATTTATTATTTTTATTTTTTATTTTATTTTGGTGTTACAACAACATAAATTTGTCCCCATCCACCACATAATTAAATTGCTCGATAATATGAACTAGTTGGTGGAATAAATATACTGCAATATTTCTAACTATTTGAATTCAATTTTTCTCGCCAATACTTTCTAACTTCGAAGACTATCTTTTTTTTTTTTTAAACATTTTCAACCAACTATTTAATTTGTATGTGTGTGGTAAAATTTAAAAATAAAAATAAAGGGGGTGGGGGGCTAGGCATCTGTCTTGTAGGGGGAGCTTTCAATTTAATTGGACAAAATATCAGTGTTGGAGTTGGAGAAACAATGGCCCCTCACTCAATTTGTTTATTAATATTTAATATGAGGTAGACGAAGTAACAAAATAAATCAAGGGTAAATTACAACCAACCCCCTGATGTACGGTCAAATTACAAAAAAATCCCATGATGTTTGAGTAATTACAATCACCCCCTCAACTATAAATCTTCTTACACGTCAACCCTTGCGGTGTCAAATTTAGTGGAACCTTCTAGATTTTTTTGGAATATTCTCAATTTTGTACCTGTTTTATCCCATTCGAACTCCACATTTTGAAGCAAGATGATCATAAGATGTGTTTTTTGGATTGTATATATCAGATTGTGGTGAATCAGAAACTGCATTTTTGCACAAAATGAGTACAAACTAGAGAACATTCCACTGAATCTAAAAGATTATGTTGAATTTGACACCATAAGGGTGGACGCGTAAAAAGATTCATAGTTGAGGGGTAGTTGTAATTATCCAAACATGAAGGATTTTTTCGTAATTTGACCATATATATCAGAGAGTTGGTTGTAATTTACCCATAAAATAAAATAAAATAAAATTAATGCATGTATATATATTATTGACTATAGGTTATAAATTGCATAGTATTCAGACCAAAGTGCAGCAGACCTGCACAACCTGGCACCTAATTGGTAACTCCAAACAACTAGAAAATTTATGCTCTTTTCAGAGTTTTATTATTTTTTGTTTTATTTAATTATGATGCCTTTCACGAGGGGTATCTACATTTTTCATTTTTTATTTTATTTTTGCTTATTATAACAAATAATATTATATATTCATTTAATACTGTGTACAACTTTTGCTAGATGATAAATTCACAATAAAACAATATGTATTAATTGTTCTATAAGTAAGAGATTGACTTAGTATTAAAAAAGCAAATATCATTATCAAGAAGAGGGCCAAATCCTTAATGATTGCTAAACAATAATTAAATAAAAAGACAAATTCAAATATTCTTGAGTGGTTACATTGTTTTTCATGGAGGCAAACAAAATTAAATTCAAATTATTTAGATAATAAGGACAAACATTAACCATTATGCATTTATTTAAAAGGAAAAAAAAAAGGAATTTCTGAAAGTAAATAATCGACTATGTCGACCGCTCGTAATTCGACGACAAATCTAGACCAACATAGTAAATAAATATTAGCTTTTGTCAATAAATTTGCTTCCATCATAAATAATTTGACAAGTTTTTAGTCCATATTAATTGTATTTTTTTTTTAATTTTTAATTTCAATATTTTCACTATATAATTAGGTGGATTATATTTCTTACAGCAATTATCTATTTTACTGCAGGCACAGGCAAGTAGACAACAAATAGACCATATACTATAATTTCTTTTGTCTTATAATATATCTCTTTTCATGTCAGTGTATAAATCTTAAGCAAAGAACAAGAAAACACACAGCAGTGATATGTTTTCGTTATTTATTTATTAATATTGTTATTATTATTTTAATTTATTTTTGTTATTTTGTGAGAAACAAATCTTGAAAACAAATACACAAAATCTAGTTCTAGACCAAAATTAGGAGGTAAAATAATGTCTAACTGCATTTATGGAAAAACAATATTTCATTTTTAACATAAAATTAACTGCACTCCAAATATGGATCATCCCACTAAATTCAAATACTTTACTTACGGCCAGTCCTTCAGGTAATGTTAAATTATGGAAAACCACCTTCATATTTGGATAATTATAATTAACCTTTAATTATGAATCTTCTTATACGTCCACCCTTATATGGACAAATTTAACAGAATCTTCTATATTCCGTAAAATGTTCTCTAATTTGTACTCGTTTTGTGTAAAAATACAGTTTCTAATGCACCACAATATAATATTTACAAACCAAAAGACACATCTTGTGATCATTTTTGTTTCAAAATATGAAGCTCGAACGGGGTAAAATCAGTACAAACTGAAGAATATTCCACATAATCTACAAAATTCCACTAAATTTGACACCGCAATGATGGACGTGTAAGAAGATTCATATTTGAGGGGTGTGGCTGTAATAACCCATACATGATGGGTTTTTTCGTAATTTCATAATTGTAAATATAAAATACATTTTCTCTTACAAAAAAAAATAAAATATTTTTCTGCATTTGATGGGTCCCACATTTGCGCACACATGATGCTGTATTTCTGTAAATACTATTTCTTCTTTCTTTCTTCTTCTTCCTCTTTTTAATTACAAAAATTGTCTCTCTCTCAAATGAAAAAGCGCACAAACACACACTGCACTTTCCAAAACTTTATTTTCTTATAATCCGTGTTGTGTTTCATCATCAGTCTTTAATGGCTGCCCCACACCTAATTTCTTGGCTCCATTTTAATCAGTGGGTTGGTAATTTCCTCATCGGGGCCTCTCTCTTTTTGGTCGGTTTTCAATTAGATACTCCTCCACCGGAGTTCTAAGCTTTCTCTTTTCTTCTTCCTTGTTCATTTCTTTTTATTCTTCTCCACCTTTTGCTTGTGCGCGCTAAGTGTTTGTAGAAATACCTGTCAGAGATTGGATTTTTTTTATTAGTTTCTTTTCTTCTCAATTTTGAGCTGTCGGTTTTGTCTGAGATTCTCTGAAGATAAAAAATAAATAAATAAAAAACCTCTCTTTTTTTGTGGGATTGTCTTGATTTTTTTTTTCTCAGTTTCTGATTTTGCTTCGATCTTCTTTTGTCCGATTTTGATTGGTCTTTTTTTTTTTTTTTCTAATCTGGAAAGGTCTTTCGAGAATCTGTTGAAAATTTCTGTTAAGATGAATTGAAGATTGATTGTGTGAGATTAGTTATAAGTTATAACCTACCTACCTACCCTGTAAGAGAACTTTGATCTTTCAAGGGGATCAAAGAATTGTAGAATTCAAAAAAAAAAAAAGAAAAACTTTTTAGGAGACTTTGTGGTATTGGTTGAAGGGAAGATCAAATTAGCATTGGCACAAACAATTATTACAAAGCTTGTTTCGTAAGCGAGGATAAAAGTCGAAAAAGGTTGATTCCTTGCCCAAACAGAGAGGGCTACACTAGCCTTTATACTCGGGCAACATTTGAGGAAGCATATTGAACTGCATGTTTGTATCAGGTTTCAGGTAATAAATCCTCTCTCAATAGGGATATATATCTAAATAAATTTCAGGGTTTTTTTTTCGTTTGGGAAAATATTTTCATGTGATAAGTCCTCTTGTCGATAGTTAGGTTTCGTTACAATTGAGTTACATTATAACCTATGTATTGAGTGATTCGTAAAGCACGAAGATTATATGTGCAATTGACTTGTGGATTTCGTTTTGATTTTCGACTTACCTTTTTGTGGTGGCTACTTGCAGTGACAGGAGAGTTAACTGAACGAACTTGAAGAATTGAAGGCCGGAAGATCACTTCGCTATGGCAAAGAAAAAATTACAGAAACGCCCTTCACGACATGAAAGAGACAATGCAGGTTGTATGTGGGGTTTAATTAGCATATTTGACTTCCGTACTGGTAGATCCACCAAAAGATTGCTTGGAGATAGAAGACGATTAAGCAAGGAAGCTATTGTCGGTAAGATCTATTGAGTAGAATTTTTTATTGCAAGAATTTTAGTTATGTTTGCTCAGAAAACAAAATTTCGAATTTACGACGCTGTGTTTAGCAGGTGGTGGACATTCGAGTAACCAAACAATTCTACTAGGTTTGACCGAAAAACACGAAACTCTAGCGGTATGTATGCTGCACAATATCTTTGCCCGAATTGTAAATTTTTTTCTGTGTATTTTCTTGATTATATCGATTTTTAATTTTATTTCGTAAAATTAGGATGCTGAAGAAAGTAAGATGCTTATGTCTGAAGTTGCTAAAACAAGTGTTAAGGAACTCATGGAAGAAGAGATGTTCAACGAGCAAGGTTCAACGTTAAACCAGCTAAATGATTACGAAAATGGTTCAGGAAAAAACGATTCGAAATATTTAAATCATACGAAAAAGGATCAGAAGAGAAACAACGCAAAACCGTCAGATAATCTTGATCTGGAAATTATAATGGAAGAGTTGGCTCACATTCATCAGAAACAAATCAATCTTGAAATACCACCTGGTGAAGAAAAGTTAGTCGAAGCCTTAAAACTGTTCATCGAACAGAGACTGAGCAACAACAGTAAATGCTTTGAGGAAGACGATTTCACCGATGCTCTGCAAGCACTGAGTTTAAATAAAGGTTTGTTCTTGAAACTATTACAGGATCAAGATTCCGATTTGGTTAAGCGCATTCAGACAATAATCGATGCCAGATTAAGTAAAGACCAAACACCTGATTCTTCACCTGCTAATTTGTCCGAAGAAAAGCCGCTAAACTCGAAATCCGATGATGTAATAAGCACCCCAAAACAGCGAAATTTCTTCCGAAGAAGGAGCAAATCAGTGGATAGCAATCCCTTGGGTGAAGAAGACAAGGATTTTCAATCTCGGGATAAAATTGTCATTTTAAAACCTGGCCCAGAAACCGAAAACATGGATAATAAGGCATCTCAGTTCTCTTTCACCGAAATCAAAAGAAAGCTAAGGCATGCAATGGGAAAAGAGAGACAGGGTATATCTCTTGATAGACTGGTTCTCAAAATTCCTCCAAAGGCTCAAAATTGGAGCAACGGCGATAAAGCGGGACCCACCGGAGAAAACATCGGGTGGAGTTCTCCGAATAGAAACCACTTCTATACCGAAAAATTTGCAGTAGTAAAAGAAAATGGTTCGCCACTTTCGCCAGTGGTGAATAAAACTTATCAATATCCGAAAGTTGGTGGATCGAATATTTATATTGAGGCTAAGAAACATCTGTTAGAGATGATGGAGAATGGAGAAGAAAATACGGAGTCGGTGGGTGGGAAATTGCCTAAGTCACTTGGTAGGATTCTTTCTCTGCCCGAGTATAGTGGCTTTTCGCCTTCCTTGAGCCCGAGAAAACACGGTGATGAGGTTTTTATTACAGCCCAGATGAGATTATCCCCACGTGGTGTAGGTAAGAATGTGAGTGGACTTTTGCAAGAAAAAAATGATCTTTTAAGCCCACGAGCGGAGAATGTGGATAAAGTAGAGTCATTGGAGAAATGTTCTTTAGAAGTTCAATCCTTTAAAGAAGATACTATAGTTTCTGAAGGTAAAATAAATTCCATCGTTTCTGTAAAGATAATTGTGAAGGTGTCGAACTATTTAATAAAGCTGAGATTTTTTCCTTTCCTTCTAATCTAACAGATCAAAGTTCATCTTCGATAGTTGTGGAAATTGAAGAAATGGCTGAATCAAGGCTTGAAGAAGAGGAAGAAAAGACGATTAATATTTCATCTGAATCATTTAGTAATTCAATTGATGGAGATATCGAGAAAGGAGATAATGAAGAAAGTGTTTCCCCGGGCTTGAAATCGGTAAAAATTCCAATTCGAATTGAATTTTATTGTGTTGCCATGTTTATTTCATTTTTCTCATTCTTGTTTAATTTTTTTTTTCCCAGCATTTATTTGGAGAAGATCAATTTTTTTCTTCTCCGTCACACCATACAGTAAGCATCAACATAGAAGATCCAGATTGTGCAATCGACAAAACGGGTCGACCCAGCCCCGTATCCGTTCTCGATCCATTATTCACAGATGATGATGTCAGTCCTGCAAGTACCATATCTCAACCAGGTTAAAATTCTGAATAAAGAACTAACAAAACACACTCTCACATATGTATTTTTGTTTCCTATCTACCTTTTTCATTCTCTGAGTTTATTACATTTAGCACCTTGTGTTTACTCTAATTGTTAAAAAGGTCCCCGGGTAATGCATTTTTAGGGAGTAGTTTGCCAAACAAATTGCATTATTGGGGTTTTTTTGCTAATATTAATAACACGGGGACTTTTTTTAACAATTAGAGTAAACAAATGGTGCTGAATGCAATAAGCCAATCTTTTTTTCAAACTGAAAAATAACACAACTTCATTTGTGACAAAATTCAGTAGGAAAAGAAATTCAGCCTCGGCAAATCCACTTCGAGGAACAATCTTCAACCACCGACCAAGGATTAATCTGTACAAGAATTTCTCTCGAAGAAGTCGAATCAGCATTCGAATACGTCGAAGCAGTATTGTTAGGCTCGGGTTTGAACATGGACGAATTTATGCTGAGGTGGCACTCTTTATCTGAAATCCTCGAAGACTCACTATTCGACGAGGTGGAATTATTCTCGAGCAGGCCCCGCCATGATCAAAAACTGCTCTTCGACTGTGCTAACGTAGCTCTAAAGGAACTGTGCCAGGGGTATTTTGGTAAATCACAAAATATTCGACCGGTTCCTAAAGGGATGGATCTTATTCAAGAGATATGGAAAAGAGTTGAATGGTGTTTGTTTCAACACCCTCAGCCTCATTCTTTGGACAAGCTTGTCAAAAGGGACTTGACAAAATCCGGAGATTGGATGAATCTTTTATCGGATATTGAGGTTATTGTTTTCGAAATGGGGGAGACCATTTTCGATGAAATAATTGAGGATGTTGTAATGAACTTTGCTGAGGTGGACATCAGTTTGTAGAGTGTAATAACCGACTTGTTTCGAGCTAATATCGCGTCGTGAGTTTCCTAGTTGATAAATTAGGTCGAAAAAACGTGTATTTTCGTTTATGACCAATCAGAAGATGAGTGAAATCTTTGCATCAGTTTTTTTTTTTTTTTTTTTTTTTTTTTTTTTTTTTTTTTTTTTTTTTAATTCGGCATCGGTGTGGCTTTCACTTAGAGCTTTGTAATTTAGAGGAAGACGTAAGTTTGTGCAAATAAAACTATCTTTATTTATATTTTTTTTTCGATTTTCTCGGTTTGGTTTGTAAAGAAATCGGGTTTTTTTTCGCCCCCAACTATTACTGATGTATTCATGTATTCCTATGCCATGCAGCTCAATTTAAAATGCCTTCTCAATGTTTCTTGAATTCATTTCGAGCTGAATTCAGCTCGACTCGATTCGTTTACACCCTCATTATGTGTTGATTCTTGAAGAGCAAAACAGTAGTAAATGATTCAAACAGAGTCGAATATACGTAACAGTACCTAATTTGTCAAACACAAGAAATCCATTTACAACAACGAATAAAAAGATCAAGTATGCAAAACTATCAATGCTTCGTTTTTGTCACATGTAGAAGTGGATTAAAAATCCGAGGTTTGCTCTTGGAAAATGTTCGGGTTCTACTTTCCATCTCATCATCATCGTCACTACTATTTTCATCGTCTTTTTCATCGTTCTTCGCTGACGTCGCCAAATCTTCCTCCACTAAACGGGCTTTTCTTTTGCCATCGTTCAGCATGGAAAACAATTTTCTTTCTACCGGATTATCCGAATGAGTAAATTTCGACTCTGTCGGAAGAGTTGCACCTAAACCAAGCCTAGTGAAAGGAAAAAATAATAATAAAAAAAAAAACTCACAATTAAATAAAACTACACATAAAAATTCTGCACCGTTATATGCAAAGTCGATGAAGCTAACTGACCAAGGAGGGCGTGCTTCCAATTGTACCGTTGGTTTATCGTTCGCTGAGGATTTAGGTTTACTCATTTTATTAAGCACTTGTTCAGCCTGTAGAGAAATAAATAAATTATAAAAAAAAAAAAAAAAAAAACCGTGTTTCGGAACTATAAAACGGAGATAAAAAAACAAAAAGCCGATTTACCAATTTGGAATTCCTGTCTAACTTTATTAATTGGGGCTGTGGTTTGTTCCTCGATTCGTCTCCTTTACTAGTTGCCATTTCGTACACCTGATTATCATATTAGA